AAACTTATATTTCCATAACATCTTCTATTTATATTCTATTAAAATGTATGTAACTTGTGAATGAATGTGATTGGATTAATTTACAAGATACGCAGCCCCATTCTTAAAAAGATTCATATGAGCATTGTTGTTTTTGAAGTGAACATGTTGTGCTCCCTGCGGTTTGGAATCTCACTTAAAATGGCCGAATACCCTGTGCAGTGCACTTAGCAGGGAACTACAGGGCGATCGGAAACGTACCCGTATCAAAGAAGGTTGTAATATATAGACTAATAATAAACTTTATTTATATAGTGCTTATCAAACAAAAGTACAAAGTGGTTCACAAAAGAAACACAGAGAGAAGATGACCACCATGGAGGTTAAAATACATCTGGCAAAATTAGATAGAAATCACAATAAAATCTAACAATCAACTACACAGGATATAAGAGAAAATAAACTAGGATAAAAATCTTTTGTCTGAGGAGAGGCCCATAGTCTCAGACTTTAAAACTCCCTGCCTTAGGTAGTTTCATATGATACCAGTATCTTCACTGTAGCTTTTAAATTGAGGTTGCTATAGCCTATGAAAGACATGCAGGTTGGCTGAGGACGTAGACACTGAGTGTACTTTAAGAGGTTAACTTTAAAATTAACATTTGACCTTGTTTACATCCAAGTTAGGTTGACGTATTTTGACTTTAAAGCATAATTCTGGGCATTGATTACTCTGATGAAATAAACCTTAAATTTGAATATAAAAAAGGTACAGATGTGGCTGCAAAAAAGAAAAGAGCTGACCCTCCAACCAGCAAAGTCAGAATATGAACAGAATGACATCAGTTTGAAGTTGAAATTAGTAGGGTAGTGGCTCGAGGATAGCATTCTAATAAATTATTAATATCCATCCATTCATCCATCAATGATGTTTTTTTGCAGTGTAAAGTACAAGAGGTTCAGTGTTTGCTGCTTATAGAGGCCTGTTAAGAAGGGATAGAAATATAAAGCATGCTATCAGGGGGTCTACAAGAAGCCATTGATGATGTGAACCAATGGGAACATGATTGTGGTTTGAAATGCAACAACAACAAAAAACACACAAAATGGCCTTAATTAAAATATATGGGACTATATGGGATGATAAAATTTTATCTGGGTTTTCTACCTTTTTGATTACTCACAGTTATTTGAAAAATAAATAATAATAATAATAACAATAATAATAATAATAATAATAATAATAAGTGATGGGGATTTGTTGATCAGTATGTTAAATGGCACAGTAGCTAATGATTTACAGTGACAGTTCGTGGAAAGAAATAATAAATGATAAATGATACAATGAGTGGAAGCAGTCGCAACAAAAAAAAATATGATTTTTTCTTTTTCCTCTGCTGTGCATGCAAGTTTATATCACTCTTGCAGTAAATAAAAAGTTGCAATTCAAAGTGTATGTGGGCTTGTGCTGTGTTGAAGGGGAAAAAGAGACTGGCTGCATTGGCAAAGCCATCTGTGATACAAGGAACAGTATATAGGGAGAAGCTCATAGACTGTTGCTGGAATTTGCTGTTGAAGGGAAGTCATTTTCACAAATTGTTCAAAACGTAGCCTGTAAAAACACAAAACTGTATAGCAATAGAGGAAGGTTAGTCATAGGTAGGAGAAACAAAGAGCAGTCAAACATCTTTCTTGAAATACAGTATGAGACATATTGAGATGATGAGATCTAAACTGAGGGAGAAGAAGAAAGGAACACATACTTTATTAATCCCACAAGGGGAAATTCAATGTTGTTTCACTCTGTTGTTAATTACTTCATATAATACACACACAGGTCTGTAGTGCACACACATGCACAAACATATGGAGAGATGTCAGAGCGAGGGAGCTCTGACTCAGTGCAGGACTAAAACCAGCAACCCTCCGGTTTCCAGCCAAGTCCTTGCGGACTAAGCTACTGCCAATGATGAGCAAGAATTCACACTAAATAATTATCAACATTTCCTGCTGGGTCCTCGGCCTGAAAACCTCCTCCTCCCTGTAGGAACACACCCCAAGCTCCCCCCGGTGCTCCAAGCTATCAGTCCAGTCCTATCAGGCTAATATAACAACCTAATGGCAGCTAGCAGCTACATTTTGCAACAGATAGCGGTTACTCTGGTGATATACTGCCCCCTATTTGTTTTGATTGTTTGATTAAGAGCATTTGAGATGACTGCAGCTGACTTTGGCTGACTTGATAGTCTAACATGAGCTGCAGGTGACTGCAGGGGCGGGGTATAAAAATGGCGCCCTCAAGTCAGACACAATCTAGCTGCGTGAGGTCACTGTGAGCTGAGATCAATGACTGATCTTGTGACATTTGCAAAGAAAAATGCTGCGAGACCAGGCAAAAGTGTGGTTCCAACTTTGTGCAGCCCGAGAAAAGCAACTGCGGCCGCCGGACTCGTGAGGTTTTAATGTCATGTGACATGGTGCCGTTCTGCAGCGCCAGCGAAAGTCCGACAACATTTCTAAGTAGCATGCCTTATTTTAAGTCCAGCATGCATCATGTTATGTCAGCACTGCGCAGCACCGCATGAAGTCAAACTATTGATATCGTTTATTTTAAACATGTAAAAAAAGAGGAAAAAAATGGTGGTAACAAAACAGATGAACAACTAAATAAAACTCCATAATGTCCAGTACTTAAAAACCTCTATTTACATGTGCGAAAAGGAGTACGAAGAATTAAAACTTATATACTCCTACCACTTTATACCTTAATACCATATTTAATAAAATAACTATAAAATAATAAATGTACAGAAATAATAAATCTATAATCAAAGAAAATACATATTCAAATAGTTATATTCACATACATATATTTACACAAACACAACAATATTTATACACATCCTTCAAACTATTCTACAGAACCTTAAATGATCATTGTTTTTCTCTGGACCTCTGAATTATAATTTCTTTGAACATCTTTTTAAACATGTTTTGGAATATGTTTGGACATTGCATTAATTCATTATTTAGTTGGAGCATGAATTTGACAGGTGGCTAAAATCTTGCAATTCTTACACATTGCACCTTTAAGCATGCACTTAACTGACGTAATGTACCAGATTTCATTTACTTTACTAAACATTGATAGTTTTTAGTATATATCTCAGTACAAGGGAATTAACACTTTGGAATTAACAAAATTGTGAGCATGAGTACAACAGATTATATAAGACAACTGTGTTCATGAAAGAAACAGAAAAGAAACAACAACATACAACTCAGGTGGCGGTAATACATGATCTGTTTACACTGTAACTTTAGGTCATGCGTGTAAACAAAAAAAAACTAAAAGAGGAGAAACTGAAGAGACCATTGACTGTTATTGTGGCACAAGCAGTGAGTCAAGTTTAGACTTGACATTCACGCCACAGTTCTTGGCAGGTGTTTATTTGTGGGAGGTAACAAACCATTCAACTGTTGGAAGTGATTATTACCCTATTTTATGTAAAGCAGGTAGTGGAACCAGGCTGGTCTTAGAAGATATATCAAAAAGGTGGGTATTTGGAAAGGCTAATTCAGATAAATTCAGAGAGATAAGTGAAACAAAAACTTAACTAGAGAACATATAGAAACATATAATGAACATTTTAGAGAGGCTATCATTAGGGCTGACAATCAGACAATTACAAGGGAAACTGGTATGAAAAGGTAGTGAAAGTGAGGTAACACAGAAACGTAATAAGGCTTTACGGTATTAAAAAATGCTCACAATTTCAAGTAGTTCATAAAGTATAAAATAATGCAAGCAGTGGTTGATGCAATCACATCTCCTTTCAAATTAGAGGAAATGAAATGGTCCATCTGTAAATCAGGACTAACGGCTCCAGGAAAAGATCAAATCTGCTATATCATGTTGGAGCATCTGTCTGACATAGCATACTACATTTATATAACAATGTTTGGCAGGAAAGAAATTTACCAGGAAGCTGGAAACAAGCTGTTATAGTACTCATCAGGAAACCAGGAAGATCCTATCAAAGACCAATTGTATGGACATCCCATAGCTGTAAAACTATGAAACATATGGTTACAGAAAGACTAACATATTATTTGGTAGTAGAATGCAAGTTCCACATAGAGATGTCAACTAATAGTAATTGTAGTTGTAATAATATGAATATCATGGAAAATGCTCAGATGGGTGAAGTATGTTTCGTGTGGATGCTCTACAAGGAAAGTAATTTTCAGGAAGCAATTTGATTGTTAATAAAACTCCCTCTAGAGTATTTAGAATCAGCAAGACTACTGGATAGAATTTGAGAATTATCATCATTAAAATGTTATTATTATTTATATTTTGTTTTGCTTGTATTCTTTGTTTTGCAGACATTTTAGAAAATAAAGACAAAAGAGGAAGAAGAAGCAAACCCAAGTGGCTCATTGTAGGACTGTTAATGTAGCATCAGTAAAACAGAAATCAAGAGCATGATTAAACAGACAATGAAAAAAAGGTGTCAAAAGCAATGGGAGGAAGAGAGGAATGGATTATGTTTTTTTACAGAATTCAGAGGAAATGAGATGTGCGGGGAGGAACAGGATAGATGAGACAGTCATATCAAGACTTAGATTTGGACATAGTGGACTAAACAGCACTTTATTCAAAACAGGTCAACATAACACAGTAAAAACGTGTTATAGTGCATCAGAAGTGGGAGAAAGAAAGAAGGCAGCTGATACAAAACCTCAGAAGGATAAAAATATACTTTGATTTAATAGGCCTAGATATTCTGAGAAAGAACTCAACAGATGAGTGCTATCGAATTGTCTTTCATTATCTTAGAGTAACTGATATGATTGAAAGGATGTGTCTATTTTATTGGTCGTTTATTGTTGTTGTTTTTTTGTTTGTGTTTAGTGTTTGGACTGGTCATTCTGAGCCACACACAATACCAGTAGGTGGCAGTAATGCACCAATTCGTTGATTGCCAAAAACAAGAAGAAGAAGAAGAAGCCTGGTGGTTCATCGTTTATTGCCTCTTTACTTTAAACAGCCGTGGCTTGTGATGGGATGCTGATCACAGATTGAGCGCCATGTTCATACCCGAATATATTGGTATTTAAATGACTTGAACGACTCCGGTTGTTCACCTGCTTCTCGATATGTCTGCAGCGATGCTGAGGTAAACACGACGGGCTAAAATGCGCTTGTCTACTAGAAATGACAACAGCGAGCTAACTTAGCAACTAGCTATATGTATAAGCTAACAGCTAACCAGAGCGGTACAGTAGATAACGGTAATTCTTGTTTAGTTAGCTATTAACTTTAATTAGGAATTGTTAACACGGTGAAGACAGCAACCACATATCTAAAACAGTTTAAACAAAAACTGAAGATTAAAACCTGCCTGGAGGCAGGATTTATCGCGGTCCGTATAAGCAGTTTATTCCTTGTGAAAAGAGGGCCCAGCAGTCTGCAGTAAGAGCTGAAGGACTGTCTAAGCTAGCACAGCATGTAAAGTTTTACATTCCAAACACTACTGGACCATGAAGAGGACTTTGTTCTTTCCTAAAAAAAACAGAAAATAAGTCCCTCTTCACAACGCCTGTAGTAGAATTTATTCATTATGCAATTTTGGAATCTTTTAAATTACTCCCATCACTACCTAATTTTATAAGTTAAGTGTTTCACACACCAGAGGGGTCCCCTTAAGCACGCAGCCCATGTAGGTGGGGGGCCCTGAAGACCAGATTTAGCTCATGCCTTTTCCCAACTGAGATGTTGCAGCTTTACAGACACCAAAAACTATAGAGCATGTTTTGTTTTTTCTCAGTTTGGAAGTTGGTTATTTCAAAAGTGCACCACTTGTAAGTTGAACACAAACATGTGGTAGGTTCTGAGTTGAAGACGATCGCCTGAATGCTCCATTGAACAACTGATTGATGCAATAAATTTTGGGAGACTGAGAGTAGGCAATTATTTAAGATTTATCAATTCATTTTTAGGTCCAGAAAGTAGTGAAAAATGTCAGTGTTTTCCCAAAGCCCAAGGTGACTTGGACAGCTTTTCCCACAAACCAAATCTATTCAGTTTTCTGTCATAGAAGGGGAAGAAACCAGAAAATATTCACATTTTAGAAGCTGAACACAAAGAATTTGGACGTTTTTCTTAACAAAATGACTCAAAAGTGTTTAGCTATCAGAATAGTTGCCGATTAGCCTAATGTAATAATTGACAACTTGATCAATCGACTTATCATTGCAGCTCTAAGATTTAGTCTGTTGAACCCAGCAGAGTTTTAGAGATGAGGTTGTGTCCTGCAAGTTAGGTCAAAATCTGCATTGCTTGGTTGTGTTTGAAGGAGCCTTTGAAATGGGACAGTCTTCTCAGATTTCATTCACCAGTCTCTCTGGAAAACTGAAATGTAATACTTGTAAAACGTGATATTTTCTTTCCATATTCCAAGGTAAATGGATGTCTGCTACTGTATTGGACTTTATTGAAGCATAAAAGTTGTATGTAGATGTTGAATGGGATTTGGGTTGATGTATAATAGTCTCATGCATGATAAAAAATGGCACCAAATTCAAGTTAGGCATTTCTAACTGTCAAGATCTACATAACCAGGCTCTATTTTTTTTTTCCTTTCTCTCTCTCTAGCACCACTACCAGCAAGCTTAATGTATTGGTCAACAAACTGCACGAGTACTTGGCTCATTCTGCTGTTGAAGACAGCAATGGCACACCAGCCTCAGAGGATGCTCATGGTACAGCTTTTGATTAACCTAATTGTGATGGAACATTTTTCATCATGTTAACATGCTTTATAATTTTAACAGATCTTGTGGTCACAGGTCTGACAAACAGAAGCTGTTCTGTGAGAAACTCAACAGGTCATGCTGCTGCAGAGGTAACTGAACATTCTTTTCAATTGTCCTATCCCATATCAAGTTTTGTACGTTGGTGACACTGATGGTGCCTGTTACATTTTAACTGGATCCAGCACACAGTTTGGTCACATTCAAAATTTACAGCATTGCCACACTAAAAGGGTTTTTAGCTGTGGAATTACAGCACTTTGAAATAACCATTAAAGCAGGACTAAATCAAAGCGAAGAGCTTTTGTTCATAAAATGCATCAAACAAGTTTTGCCATGATTGGATACTTGAAGCGCTCATGTAGAACTTGCATTACAAAAGTAGATAACAATGTTCTTAGCTAATGTTTAGGAGTGAACTAATGGCTAATTCACAAGCCATTGCCAACAAACCAGTGAATAATGATTTTTTCAGTTGCCTCAGTTTGAGTAAACGGCTATTGCCACATGAGAAACCATGTGAAGCTGTAATGCTCATGACACACAGGGAGTTTAATTACTTCTTCAAATAAAAAAGCACAAGGCCTGCTAATATAAAACTTGTGTAGTTATCTTATTTTCCAATAATAAACAAAACCCCAGAGCCTGGTAAGGCTTTTTCCTACATGCAATTGGTTTGGGCCGTTTTACATTTTCTTTTAACACTGTGCAGTAGCTGCACATAGGAGTGTTCAAGACAATGAACCACATAATGTGGCGGAACAGAGTGGTGACCGTTGGATAGATTTTTATCCCACCTCATTTCCATGTGTCAGGTGCTCCTCTAGCCACAAAAGTACACCTTCATTACCCCTGATTAGGTTCCTACTTTAACGTTGTCTTTGTTTTTAGTTGACAGCAATGTAATCTAACATGGTATTTTAAAGCTACAGCCCATTGCTTAAAAAAAATGCTTCAAGATCTCATTGTCACTTTTGTTAAGCATACTTGTAGTCTAACAGTCGTGTCAATCTCTGCTATGAACAGTAGTCTTTACTTCCTGAAGTGTATAGTTCCACAGTTCCTGTGCATTCGGTTACACCAAAAATGACACTGATTATAACTAAACATGTAAACTGTCTTGCTTTGTAGGTAGGAGTGGATAACAAATACTCAAGGAGGTGAGCTGGCATTTCATTTATACCCTACGAGCATAGATAAAGCACTATGGTATGAAACGGTCTCAGATTTAATGGCCAAATATTTTATGCAACTCATTGCTGAATATAATATGTATGTACACTAGTCTTAATAAGATTGAAGGCTGATTTTTCTAGTGCTATTAGCTTTACTTGGTTGTTTTAAAAACATTGGTAACCCCCCCGCCTGCTTTTTCACTGTCTACCTGTGGGAAATGTTTCCATGCTCTTCCATTTTTTCTGTCTCACTGATATTACAGAAAACCTTCTGTTGTCACAAAACACTCAGGACTGGATGAATCTGGTGACTCAAATTCGAGTGAGGATTTGGATTTACCAGTCAATGCAAATGGTCACCTTGATGTCACTAGATTGCCAAAAGGTCGGTCTTAATGTTTCACTATTTTATTTCCCTAGTATACTCTGCCTCAGAACCTTTTCTGTGTAAATTACAGTGCAAATGATGATGGGAATTTTGTGATGGCTGTCCACTGCGCTTCGGAAACAGTCTTTTTTTAAAGTGTGTGTGCGTGTGACCGTACGCAGTCAAGCCTGAAATTATTCATACCCCTGGCAAATTCTGACTTAAAGTTACTGTTATTCAACCAGCAAGTTGTTTCTTGATTAGAAATGACACAGGCGTCTCCCAGAAGATAAGACGATGTACAAGAGGCATCATTGTGGAAAAAAATTACTCATCTTTGATTTACATTTGAACAAAAAGTGGCATGTCCAAAATTATTCATACCCATCTCAATAATCAAAGCCTTTATTGGCTATTACAGCAATCAAACACTTGCTATAATTGCTGACCAGCTTTCTGCATGTCTCCACTGTTTTTTTTGCCCATTCATTTGTAGCGATGAGCTCCAACTGTTTCAGGTTGGAGGGTCTCCTTGCCATCACCCTGATCTTTAGCTCCCTCCACAGATGCTCCATGGGATTTAAGTCAGGACTCTGGCTGGGCCACTGCAAAACGTTAATGTTTTTGTCTGCCAACCATTTCTTCACCGCATTTGCTGTGTGTTTTGGGTCGTTGTTGTGCTGAAATGTCCACTGGTCCCTAAAGCCAAGTTTCTCTGCAGACTGCCTGATGTTATTGTTGAGAATTTTGATGTATTACTCCTTTTTCATGGTGCCGTTTACTGTGATTAGTTTCTCTGGTCCACTGGCTGAAAAACAACCCCAAAACATTAGGTTCCCACCACTGTGTTTGACAGTGGGGATGGTATTCTTAGGGTTGAAGGCTTCTCCTTTTTTACGCCAAATGAAGGCTACATCCTTGTGGCCAAACAATAAAATTTGTTTCATCTGACAATACAACAAAAGACCAGAAGTCGTCTTCTTTGTCCAGATGAGCATTTGCAAAGGCCAAGCAGGCTTTTGTGTGCCTTATCTGGAGAAGTGGTGCCCTCCTTGTTCTGCGTCCGTTGAACCCAGCGGTGTGCAGTGTCCGTTGGACTGTCTACCTTGAGATGTTGCCACCAGCAGAGCCCAGATTCATCAGGATGGCCTTGGTGGTGATCCTTGGATTCGTTTTTTACCTCTCTCACCATCCTCCTGGCCAGCACAGGTGTCACTTTTGGCTTCCGACCACGTCCTCTGAGATTTTTCACAGTGTGGAACATCTTGTATTTTTTAATAATACTTTGCACTGTAGCCAATGTTTAGTCTTCAAAACATTTAGATATGGTTTTATAGCCCTTTCATGACTTGTGACCAGCCACAATGTGCAGCCGCAGGTCCTCAGTGAGCTCCTTTGTCTTAGCCATGACTGTCCACAAACCAACAGCAGAGAGCTTCTGATTTTCACCTGTTGAGTTGATTAAGACAGCTGTTCCCAATGACTCAGGGTAATTAGGATGCTTTAGAACAGCTTGGACTATTTGGAATGGTATAGATCTTTGGATTTTCCTATAGACTGTGACAGTTTGCAAAGGTTATGAATAATTTTGGACATGCAACTTTTTGTTCAAATGTAAATAAAAGATGATGCTTCTTGTACATCATTGTCTTATCTTCTGGGACGGCTGTGTCATTTCTAATCAAGAAACAACTTGCTGGTTGAATAACATTAACTTTAAGTCAGAATTTGCCAGGGGTATGAATAATTTCAGGCATGACTGTATGTATGTATAGGTACAGTGGATGGAAAAAGTCTACACACCCCTGTTAAAATGCCAGTTTCTTATGATGTAAAATAATGAGAAATTATGTCAGAACTTTTTCCACCTTTTAATGTGACCTATAATGTGAACAATTCAATTGAACAAATTGAAATCTTTGAGGGGGGAAAAATGAAAAATAAAACCCCTCAAATAACCTGGTTACATACACTACCGTTCAAAAGTTTGGGGTCACATTGAAATGTCCTTATTTTTGAAGGAAAAGCACTGTACTTTTCAATGAAGATAACTTTAAACTAGTCTTAACTTTGAAGAAATACACTCTATACATTGCTAATGTGGTAAATGACTATTCTAGCTGCAAATGTCTGGTTTTTGGTGCAATATCTACATAGGTGTATAGAGGCCCATTTCCAGCAACTATCACTCCAGTGTTCTAATGGTACAATGTGTTTGCTCATTGGCTCAGAAGGCTAATTGATGATTAGAAAACCCTTGTGCAATCATGTTCGCACATCTGAAAACAGTTTAGGTCGTTACAGAAGCTACAAAACTGACCTTCCTTTGAGCAGATTGAGTTTCTGGAGCATCACATTTGTGGGGTCAATTAAACGCTCAAAATGGCCAGAAAAACAGAACTTTCATCTGAAACTCGACAGTCTATTCTTGTTCTTAGAAATGAAGGCTATTCCATGCGAGACATTGCTAAGAAATTGAAGATTTCCTACAACGGTGTGTACTACTCCCTTCAGAGGACAGCACAAACAGGCTCTAACCAGAGTAGAAAAAGAAGTGGGAGGCCGCGTTGCACAACTGAGCAAGAAGATAAGTACATTAGAGTCTCTAGTTTGAGAAACAGACGCCTCACAGGTCCCCAACTGGCATCTTCATTAAATAGTACCCGCAAAACACCAGTGTCAACATCTACAGTGAAGAGGCGGCTGCGGGATTCTGGGCTTCAGGGCAGAGTGGCAAAGAAAAAGCCATATCTGAGACTGGCCAATAAAAGAAAAAGATGGGCAAAAGAACACAGACATTGGACAGAGGAAGACTGGAAAAAAGTGTTGTGGACGGATGAATCCAAGTTTGAAGTGTTTGGATCACAAAGAAGAACGTTTGTGAGACGCAGAACAAATGAAAAGATGCTGGAAGAATGCCTGACGCCATCTGTTAAGCATGGTGGAGGTAATATGATGGTCTGGGGTTGCTTTGGTGCTGGGATTTGTACAGGGTAAAAGGGATTCTGAATAAGGAAGGCTATCACTCCATTTTGCAACGCCATGCCATACCCAGTGGACAGCGCTTGATTGGAGCCAATTTCATCCTACAACAGGACAATGACCCTAAACACACCTCCAAATTGTGCAAGAACTATTTAGAGCAGAAGCAGGCAGCTGGTATTCTATCGGTAATGGAGTGGCCAGCGCAGTCACCAGATCTGAACCCCATTGAGCTGTTGTGGGAGCAGCTTGACCGTATGGTACGCAAGAAGTGCCCATCCAACCAATCCAACTTGTGGGAGCTGCTTCTGGAAGCGTGGGGTGCAATTTCTCCAGATTACCTCAACAAATTACCAGCTAGAATGCCAAAGGTCTGCAATGCTGTAATTGCTGCAAATGGAGGATTCTTTGACGAAAGCAAAGTTTGATGTAAAAAAGATCTTATTTCAAATACAAATCATTATTTCTAACCTTGTCAATGTCTTGACTCCATTTTCTATTCATTTCACAACGTATGGTGGTGAATAAGTGTGACTTTTCAGGAAAACACAAAATTGTTTGGGTGACCCCAAACTTTTGAACGGTAGTGTAAGTTTGCACACCCTTAGACTAATACTTTGTTAAAGCACCTTTTGATTTTATTACAGCAGTCAGTCTTTTTGGGTAGGAGTCTATTAGCATAGCACATCTTGACGTGTCAATATTTGCCCACTCTTCTTTGCAAAAGCGCTCCAAATCTGTTAGATTGCGAGGACATCGCCTGTGCACAGCCCTCTTCAGATCACCCCACAGATGTTCAATTAGATTCAGGTCTGGGCTCTGTCTGGGCCATTCCAAAACATTGATCTTCATGCTTTTCTGGATTTGGATGTGTGCTTTGGGTTGTTGTCGTGCTGAAAGGTGAACTTCCTCTTCATCTTTCTAACGCCTGAAGGTTTTGCCTGGTTTTTGTAACTGTTCATAATTACCTCCACCCTGAGTGAACCCCAGTTCCAGCAGAAGAAAAACAGCCCCAAAGCATGATGCTGCCACCACCATGCTTCACTGTGGGTGTGCTGTTCCTTGGGTGATGTGCAGTGTTGTTTTTGTGCCAAACATACCTTTTGTAATTATGGCCAAAAAGTTCTACCTTGGTTTCATCAGACCATAACACATTTTCCCACATGCTTTTGGGGGACTTGATGTTTGTTTTTGCAAACCGTCTTGCCACCCTACCCCATAGCCCATTCATATGAAGAATACGGAAGATAGTTGTCACATGTACCGCACAGCCAGTACTTGCCAGAAATTCCTGCAGTTCCTTTAATGTTGCTGTAGGCCTCTTGGAAGCCTCCTTGACCAGTTTTCTTTTCGTCTTTTCATCAATTTTGGAGGGACTTCCAGTTCTTGGTAAAGTCACAGTTGTGCCATATTTTCTCCACTTGGTGATGACTGTCTTCACTGTGTTCCATGGTATATCTAATGCTTTGGAAATTCTTTTGTACCCGTCTCCTGACTTTCAACAATGAGATCTCTCTGATGCTTTGAAAGCTTAGGTTATTGTAAGGTTGTTATTTTCGTATTTCCCCCACGAAGATTTCAGTTTGTTTTTCAATTGAATTGTTCACATTATAGGTCACATTAAAGGTGGAAAAAGTTCTGATATATATGTAGAGAGATGTGTGTGGGTGTGTGTGTGTGTGTGTATATATATATGTGGGTGTGTGTGTGGGTGTGTGTGTATATATATGCACGTGTGTATGTGTATGCTGACTGCAAGATAGAAAAATACATTGAGGTTGACAGAAGTCATTATATATGTACTCTTTTGTCTTTTATTCCGAGAAATTGTTAGGTTTAAGTTATAATCACATATTTAATAATGATGGAATGTCTTTGACTAATTTGTGGTATGTTTTGTGTTCACAGGCACTGTACTAGTGAGGCCGGAACCTGTTGATAATGCAAGAGATGATTTTAGGGGACCGGAGTTTCGCAGCCGGAAATCAGGCGTTCTGCGGAAAGAGTTTTCAAGGAGACGTGGAGGTCAGTCACCACTGGTGTCATAAAATCAGTTCATCATTACTCAGGCAGCCATTTTTTCAATTAATAGAACCTAAAAGAGATGGTCACATTTTGCAACAATTGAAACACAAAGAGCTGACAATTCACTTTCAGTGTTTCCCCTACCATTTTGGTGTTTGGAGGTGTACCTAATATGTTATTAGGCTGATGGAGTAGTGGAATTAGACAATAAATATGGAAAAGTATAAAATGTGTTTATTAAATCAGGATTTTCCCAGCATTGTAAGCATTTTTGTCCACAGCACTTAAGCTAAACTAACAGAAATATTGTGTTCTGGTGTTCACAGGCGTTGCTCCTGTCCTCTCTGTGTCAGTCTTTCAATAATTGTGTGTGTGTGTGTGTGTGTGTGTGTGTGTGTGTTAAAAAAAATAAAACTATTAAAAAATAAATAAAACAGCGCGTGTGTGTTAAAAATAAATAAAACAGTAAGTGTGTGTGTGTGTGTGTGTGTGTGTTAAAGTAAAAATATATTAAACATTTAAATAATAATAGACTCTCTCTCTCACTCACTCTCACGCTCAATCTCTCTCACACACACACACACACGCACACACCGTCATCTCAAAGACTGCGTGCTAGCAAGAGGTCATCACTTCGACAAACTGTCAGAAGTGCAACCACATCGACAGATGCAAGAGGAGAGGTCTTTGTAGATTTCGTGGCTGTGTGAGTCAGTAATTCCGTTAATTAAAAACTTACCTTCCGGTCAGGACTTGTAAACGGGGGAAGCGTTGCCCACTTCACATAACCTGTTTTAATAGGGGACAATTTACAATACATGTTTTGCAACAATGCATTCATTGTGAATTGTCCCTAGTAATAGTATTGTAGTATTTCAATATCCTACTGTTGCAATACATGTATTGTGAATTGGCCCTATAAATAATTTCACATACATTTGAATATTTCTTTTGTGAATATTTGCATGGTACATCGAAATATTGTCTTATTGAATTTTGGAAATTTTAATTATCCACCACACGATTACACGCTCTTTCTGATGACAAAATGTGCTTGTTCTTGTAAAACACAAAATTCAGAAAAAAAGTGCAAAACAGTTTTGCGCCACTTCCATGACGACACTACACATCTGTAACACACCCGCTCTGAGACAGTAGTAGTTTCGGGGATCTACCCAACCCCGGAAAAAAATCCTTGGGGAAATGCTGACTTTGTGTCTAAATGGAGTTTGATCATTATCTTGTGAGAGAGATATGTCGACTTAAAAAAAAAAAATAAAAAAAAAGCTGCTTCAGTGCTGTGCGGCCACTCCGCTCTGCTTACGGCCACTTTTTACATCGTAACCAGTGGTTTTTGCTCAAGGATGTCTTTTCTGGAGAAGGCGTTGGATTTAAGGAGAGATTGAAAAGGACAGTCTTACATCTTTTAAACAACCCATCAAGCCATAATTATAACCATTTTGTTGATAATGACAGTTGTGTGCTTTCATAGGAGTTGAACACACGGGAATTGTCAGTTGCACTGCATGTGGCCGGCAAGTTAATCACTTCCAGAGAGATTCTTTCTATCGACATCCAGTTTTGAAAGTACTTATTTGCAAGGTGAGTCTTATTTATATGTAAATAAAAACACATCCTTCATTTTCTGTGACCTTCAGGTCAGTATTTATCAACAGGTATGTATATCTCTTCAAAAGTACCAAAATGTATGGTGTTATCAAAATGTAAAAACAATGATCATGGTTAAAGTGACAGTTTGCTCTCGAGGAGGAGTCTCCTTTTGTTTTCTTTGGAGCAACTCATAATTTGGCATTGTAATCATATTACTTGTATCTCTGGCGTCATTTCACAGAAATCTGAGAGATACACCTGTATAAAACAAACAATAAAACAAACCAAATCCAGTTTTCTGTATTTAAATGTACTGTGTGTAATGTACTCTGACACATTTCTCCCCAGTAATACAGCATGTGATAGATGCTGTAAATGAAAACCAGTTAGAAGAATTTTATAAATCTCATTCTCAACTAAATTCTCTTGAAGTTACCATGACCCTGCAGCGCCCCCCCAGATTGATGTGCAGTTTGAGAAATAGCATTTATTAGTTTTGAATGTGTTATTGATTGTTGAACATAACAAAATATTAATATAATGCAAACTAAAGTAATTCTCATCTCATATTCAAATGGATAATACATATACTGAGCTGAGTTTGTCAACAACAGAACTGATGATTCAATATTATTGCCAATGCTTGGTTTTAAGAAAGTATTTTGCTAAAACCATCTCTTTATTTGAAGGTGGAAATTTTAAAGAACCATTAGAAATGCTTAATCCTTTCCAACATATACATAATTTAATCCTATGGAATTTTGAGTACTTTTGTACCTTTTCTCCAAGCTGGCTGTAACTCTTGCATTAAATGTTTTGATTTTGTCAGTCCTGCTACAAGTATTACTCAAGTGATGACATCAGTAAGGATGGAGATGGAATGGATGAGCAATGCAGGTAAAATTTGTTGTATTTAATATTTGAACTGAAATATAAATTTTACTTTACTTTATTTGCGCAACTTCATCATTTATTTTCTCTTATTTTTTCCTTGTGCAGATGGTGCGCTGAAGGGGGCAACTTGATCTGTTGTGACTTCTGTAGTAATGCCTTCTGCAAGAAGTGTATTCTAAGAAATTTGGGAAGGAAGGAGCTGTCTGGCATCTTGGAGAGCAAATGGTACTGCTATGTGTGTAGCCCAGAGCCCCTTTTTGACCTGGTGATGGCCTGTGACAGTGTCCTAGAGAACATGGAGACTCTGTGGCATCAGCAGCGCAGGAGGAACAGAGTAGAGCCGGAGAAATCTGAACTTTACACCATGTTGCCACACTTGCCACAAAACATTCCTTTGGATAAATGGGATCACACTGGTATGGATGGTAATGTGGTGTTCAACTATAACACACTGCAGGTATCCAAGGATATTACCAAAAAGGCCAAACATTTAGTGGACTCTACAAACATCTTAAACCGAACATTTGTCAATTTCATTCATTCTGTGACCACAAACAAACGAACACCTGCTGTTCGCAATCTGTATCTGAACTCCTTTTTGTCCGTCGTCAAAGGCTTGCGAAGGTCACTTGCAGCTCTCGAGGATAGCTTAAAGGAAGAATTCAGTGACTTGGATGTCTTGAGCTGTTGGGAGAAGTTCCTTAATGAAGACTTTGATCTGCAGCCTGTGACCGAAGCAGACACAGAGCTGGATATCTCTAATGAAAGATGCTTGAGTGACTTGCAGAAATTGGCAGCTGAACATTTGGAAGATGAAGATTCTGACTCCAAGGGCTTCACAGATGGGACAAGTGTACATGACTGCCGCGGGGGAGACGTGCGTTCAGATTCACATGAAGCCAGACAGAGGGCACAAAAGATTGGTCTGAAGCCTTCTGAAAGTGGGATCAACATGATTAAAAAACTAGTGGTAAAGCTTACACCTGTGCCTATGGAGCAGGAGCCGCCCTCTGATGCCCCAAAGATGGAGGAGGACATCCACATGAAGGATGAGAAGTCAGAGGAAAGCGATGCATCAGAAGATGAAGAGACTGGTGTTGTAGCTAACAACAAGCTGAGTAATGACAACTCTAGTGCGTCTCTACACTTAGAGGAGGAACACGGCAATAGACGATCTCCTCGCCTGAAGACGACGCCTTTGCGTCGACCAAGTGATGTCAAGGCCAAAACGTCTCTTTCAGCAGCAGACAGTGACAGTGACTCTGATCCTGAGGAGACTCCCAGCACAGTAGCTGCCAAAAACACTGAAGAGAAAAGTCTCAGCAGAGCAAGAGACGACTCCGACTCAGATGAAGTCCCTGCAGCTCTGCTTGAGCGAGCGGCTATATCACAAAGCTCCGATGAACCACAGAGTGATGAGGATGGTGGAAAAGCGTCAACTAAGGTGGCCAAGAAATGTCTCTTTTGGCTCACTAAGAGCACCCCGATGTCACCGGAGAAGATGCGCCGCAAACGCAAGATGCTGGACCGTTCCCCTGAGTCTGACAGAAGAGGAAAATCTCGAGGGGGAAGTGGGACAGATTCCTCTAGTGACGATCAAAACTCGCAGAAGAAAATTCAACACATGAATGCGCTGAGGTCAATAGGGAAGCCTCACCTCGTCAAAAGACAGGATGAAGGTGTGGCTAGAAAGCAGAGTATGCTACAGGCTGGGAAGTCAAAGACTAAATCTCGTCAGGAAGCAGTAGAGTCGGCATCCTCATCAAGCGAAGATGACCACGATGATGGCTCTGGGAGTGACGGAAGTGATCAGAAGATGAAGCCAATCACTGAAGAGGTGGCCTTACTGGGGGCAGCAGCATTCCACCAATCATCAGGTGTGTCTCATACTGTCGATATTGATATTTAAAATAAGAAATGTATCAACGGTTAGAAGATTAGAAATTGGTCACTAGTTTCCCTAATTACTAGTGCAAGTTACCTCCTACTCCCCACTGGATTTACCGGACTCTGACATGTTGTCATTAATCATTAGCCTGAGTGCTAGGTCATGGGTGCAAACTTGTCATTTGGGGCAGGCAATGCTGACAGTCTGCCTGATTTAAACTTCTGAATAGAATCTACACGTAGCCTATGCGTATCTACAGCAACTGTGATTTGTCACCATTTTCCCACTTTTTGCACCCCAGTGCCAACTGTATTTCGCTCTTCAGGTCTTGGTTTTTGAAGGTACTGAGCTCTTGACAGATGGAAGATATTGTTGAAAATATAATTTAAAGATACACAACTATGTGGATACTCCTACATGCTCACAGGAGTAATTATACATACATCTTAGGCCAGTAGTTCAGGAGAGTGTTAAAGGCAGAAGGAAGACCAAATGCAATTGCTAGGGGGGTGCCCATGACCAGCGGAAAGAAAATATTTAGTTGCATTTTATCACAATAATTTTGCATAATTAATGTTATAAGTTCCACCTGTGCTTAGTAAGATTTGTTCAATTGAGTAAACTGTTAAGTAAAGATGGGCAGACCGATAAGAAAAGCAAACATGCGATACTCATTAAGGATCCACTCAATGATCGTAGGCACAGGTTGTCTGAGGGGACTTAATAAGTTGCATGTAGGCAATTCTGTGATCTAGCAGTCTGCACATTTCTTATGGAATGACAAACAGGAGGTTGTTTTTTCTTGGTATGTCAGTATTACGCACCTTTTGTTCACCTGTTCTTCGATAATGGATGTTGTTTCTATGCTAAAATCAAGAACTTGCTTAATTAAATGGTTTATATTTTTTGTTTTTTGTAGGCGATGAGGAACAATCTGGGCCCATGTGGGCAGCAGAAGAAGATGATGATCCAGAAAATAGGTACGGTTCAAAAAGCCCGGATGTAGAGTTTGTTAAACACCCTAGGTGTGGAAGAAAGGCTGCCACTTCGAACCCCGACTTCTGTGCAAAATCTAGCAACACCCATGTCATTAAGACTCAGTTGCAGTCTATTCAAACAAGACCAAAACGTAGCTGCAGTAGAGCTCCAGCTATCAAATACACATTCTAGAGGTACACTGTGAAGCACAGGACCCACTTTATTTTACAGTGAGACTGAACCTGGCTTAGAACAGGCTCGTCTTCGTTTCCAATGTGTAATCCAGTATACATGTAAATGCTAGAGAAACATTTTAATTAAGATTTTTATTATTTCTTTTACCGCACTTCTATTCTTATTAAGCTGATACAAAAGGGAAATCCTTACAGTTGACCCAGTTTGCCCTAAGGTCTGAGCATCCATTTGAACAATGAAGGACGCTTATTTTGTCTTACAACTCAACCTGTTTATGTGTTACAGGTTTGTTTTGAGTGACAGTATTCTAACATATTTAGAATGTTTTGAACTTCAGTGTACTTTTTCTGTGTTATTACAGAATGCACAACAACCTGTTGTCCTCCATTGAGCAGCATTGTTAACTGGAGTAAATTGAATATTGTTATTTATAGGTGAAATATAAAGTTTGAAACATGCCTGGCAGATTTGTTTACACATACTTGCATCTCAAAAAAAAAAATAAAAGTCTGAATACCTTTTTTAAATCTCTATAAATTATTTTTTATGCCGAGCAATGTTTTGTGGTCACTTGTGGTAGGCAAGGCTTGCAAAACTGTAAGCATGAATACAACTTTTATGCTTCACCTTGACAATCATTCTTTTGATCTTCTGCTCTAAACTTAACCTTTCGTGGTGACAATTTCATATTAGTAAGATGAAGATGGCAAAATGATTGTTTGGTAAATTATCTGAAATGATGTACCTGGCTCTGTAAATGCAATTTAGCTTTATATTATTCAGCTTTTGAGTTTGGCACAAAAGTTTGATGGTGCTTCCTGTTGCAGCCCCTGTTAATTCTGGCCACACAATTCACTTCACATTCACTTGTATTTGATGCCACTGTTGATGCATTATTTTAGATTCTGAGTTCTTACTTTGTTATTAAAAAGACGACAATGATAGTATCATGAACATCTGTAAATCTCAGGATTTGTTAGACGGTTATTCTTACTGTCCAACTGACAAAAACATTTAGTCATTTGTAAACCTAGCATTTGTTTCTGGTAATAATCACTCTAAAAACTCACCCCAAGCACCATTCACAATTGCTTTATAGTATGCGAATCATGGTAGACACCAATGTTAACAGCCATTTGCAGTAGATTTTTGGTGCATGGCAATTGACATTGCTATTCGATTGTTAAATGGTGCTTTGTGGTGTTTTATTATTTTATTTTATTTTTTTAATGCATCAACATCAAGGCTTTGTTATTTGCGTGTGGCTGCCATGATGAAGAATACATTTTATTGTAACTATAACCTGGTTTGTAGTCTGTCTTCTTTTGATGCTACTTCACAAACAAGCTACTAGCTCTGGAGTCGAGAATATCGCCTTTTCAAAAACGTTTACTACTGTAGTTCCAGAAACTACAAATAAACAGATTCAGCTGGGCCACTGACCGTCACACCTAATGTAGTTCAGAGCGGGCTTTACAGCAGATTGACACTTACTGGATGCCTTGTACCATTTAAATTATGTCACCGCATGTGAACGTGTATGCATCTTACACATTCAGTGTATTACTGGCTTCACTGACTATTTCAAGAGTCTTAAGCTATAAACACAAGACCCACATTTCCCCAAATATTCTCAATTATGATCCCACTGTAAGCATTTGGGTTATGATGGGTGGAGTTGTCATTCAGCTTTTCTTCAATCAGTGATATTTATTGATATTATTTTATTACTGCCACTATTCCCTTTGCGGATTTATGTAGCACTGACATTAGGAGTTTGGGAACATGTACTAGTGCAAGTATGCAATATGCTAAAGTAGTGATTAGAGGACTGAGAAGTCTTATTCAGGATTTGTGTCCCCTACCAAAGAACTTTTACACTTTTTTTTCTCTGTTGGCGCTGCCTTAAGGGTTTGCTCACTCAAATTACAAAGACATGTTTTTCCACTACTGCACCTTTTTTTTGTATCTAGCCATCCATGCATGCAGTCTCAGTTTTATCTGCTGAGGTTTTGAGTTATCTGTCTGAGATTTGTGACACCACCCCGGTCCAGCAGAGGTGAATGCAGTGTTGTTATCGCTGCTAAGGCCAAGCCCTGAAGAACAGTGTAGGTTTTGTGCAGAGATTTTGGCGTTGTAATTGGAGGTCATGTGACGTACTCTGACCCAGAAAGACTTTTCCCTAGAATGTTAAAAAAATATGCAGCTGCAAAGCAGTGAATGAAATCTACTGTCACATGCATTCAGAAATGACTCTCTCTATAAAAAGTCATGAAAAGCTGCATCAACATATTGATTTCTTGCCGTGTGTGTGGGGGTGGTCATCTCAGCCAGTTTTTATAATGCGTCCAAGCTCAAAGCACTTGGGATTGACATTTGAACTTTTATTTTCAATCTCCTGGATAATCCAAATCATTTACAGTCCTCACTGTCAACAGTGTTCATCAGAACGATACCAGTGTTTTTGTATGTTTTACCCCACTTTCTATGCACAGAGTATACATTACTGCTGACCATTTTTTAAAGCATACTGTAGCTTTTACAGCTGATTTAAAACCTATTTTAAGAGGCTTAAACCCTCCTTGACAGGTGAGAACCTGCTGTTGCATTTTTCTGAATTAATGCAGGTTAAAACAATTCGTTCAAAAGCCTTTCAGGTCAGTGCTTCCAAATGTCAATGAGAAGGTTGTATATCTGAGAATTGAGAGTGGGCTGTGAAACAACAACCATTGTAATGCAAGAAGCGACCAAATTCCCTTTGTGCCTTTAATGACACCCATGTTTGTTTCTCATGTTTTTTCCAGGTCGGATTTTCTGACAGCACAGCAGTGAATGTGATGCTGTTAGGCAACAATCACTTAAATCTGGGATATTGTAGCCTCCTATCGGTACCTAGTCGTGTTTTTTTTTTTTTACGTCTGTGTTCAGCTGTAGTGATAGCAAAACTTTATCTTAATTAAAGAATGGTCAGCAGAAATGTAAAGTTTACAGTGTTTGTAGTTGGGCTAAAACATGAAAAGTACTCTGATATTCTATTAAAATCCACACAGCATGTGATTACCAATGGCAATGATGCCATGTGTGGCAGTATGTTAACTTTCATCAGTGTTTTTCTACTTCTTCTGTTTCGTCCTTTTCCCCCCGTCGAAACGTGTCAAATGAGTTCCAAGGCTCTGGCCTGTTACTGCTGTTGTCATCTGGCATTGCTCTACTGTAAAACGTATTTTACAATAAACTCTCAATGGACGTTGGTGATTTAATATCAGTGAAGATGGCAGTGATTCTGTGTCCAGTGACCTGCATTGACTACCCACTTTGAGATCGTCGTCAAACTTGTGCGCGCAATGCAGGTTGCTTGGTGAGAAAGGGTTGACGCTGGCCAGACAGTTGACCCGAGAGTAGACGAACTCGAGACACATACATGTCCCATGTAAGCGGGTATCATGGGTAATTACAGGTCATTCCCTTGTTGGGATATGTGTGTGTAACAGGTGGATGTAAAATGGGTTGAAGAGCGCAACTAATCGTGCATACTTGGTCAAAACACAATATGGTATTAAAACCATACATTTTTTTTATAAAACAATGGTGGTATGAACTGTCTTAGATTACCCATTTTGAAACCAGGTTTATATTCAACTGCAGTATAAAGGGATTAAAATCAGCTGAAAAAATTCATTCTGAGTAAATATTTATGTACAGACTTTGTTAGTAATTGCTGTTTGTCATTCCTCCCCCTTAACTGGCTGGTAGTACCAGAGGAGTATGTTGCCTTCCAGTCAGTTCTCACTTTTTGGATGAACTAGAGATCAATGTCATTTTTATTTTCACTTGGAAAACAATTGACAGATGTCTGTCAGACTTGTGCAAGCAAAACGCATTGTAGGGAAAAAAGGAAAGTACCCTCCTCCCACTCCCCAAAGGGAAATATACTAGAATATGTCTTTGTTTTTCTGTGAATGTTTGATGTAATAAATTGTTACCCTTAAAACACCTCTGTCTCATTTTTATTGCTATTGTTTTAAATGTGTGTCTTACAGTGTTGTGGCAGTTTGCTTTAATTGGTCTGTGACTTGACTAGCAGGGCTTTCTATTGGCACATAGTGTGGACTGACAAGTGACTCACTAAAGAGATGTGAGCAGAATTATAATTAGTTTCTTTTTAAGGCCAACAGCTGAATGACTATTTGCTCCTAACCAGCGCTTAAAGAATGATCTCTTAAATATTGAAGTCCAACATTTATAACAATTACAACAATATCCCGCTGAAGACAATGTTGCTGATCATGAAATGAACTTCAGGTCCCTTTTCCTTCTTTTCTACTTTTGAAAGAATCGCTAAGAAAATGCTATTGGCCCAAATCAAAGCCAACTACTCCTCGGGCGACGATATCTCTTCAGAGGAGGACACGCAGGAGGATGACTCTGAGTCGGAGGGTGACAGGGAGGAAAAACAAGGCAATGAGAATAATGGAACAGATGAAAAGGGTAAGTCTTTTTGTTTTTTCTCCAAAGTAACACATTTTTAGCTTTTCTCTTGTGCATCTTTTTATAAGCACAAGCATTCTCCAGTGGCAACGGAAGTTATGAGTAGAAAGTTACCCAGTTGTCCTGTTACTTTTTTGGGTTAAGGAAGGGATACAACAATGACAGACTATATCTCTGCCGCAGGGGAAGACTTGGCTTCAGAATCATCTGGCTCCACGTCTAATGGGCCCAGCTCAAGGCACCATCTTCTCCGCCACAAACTAACCTTAGACGAGGGAACATCAGGTGACAAGGCCGTGGCAGAGAGTGAAGCAGGAAGGCAGGAGAGCAAGCAAAGAGCCGGAAGCAAACACGTGAGCTGTAAGGACACCTCTAACATTAGAAACAAGTACGTCTGAATAGGGAGTACCTACTTATCTCGATTGTCTGAATTTGATTTCTGTCAAGCTGATAGTGAAAGTGATGGTGACTGTAACGAGTCAGAGCTGGAAGAAGGTGGGATGAGCGAGGAGCTGAGTCAGTCAGAGGAGGAGTCCACTCAAGACATACTCAAAAGGTTTGTTCCTTTCAACTGTTATTGATAACTTCAAAAACAAAATAGATATCATGTCTTTGTTCTGATTTTAAATTTCAATGTGTGTTATACCTATATTATAAATATAAAATTCTATTAAAAAAATAAAAATAAATCAATCTACCCTGGCTTTACTGGATCTACTGAGAACTGCACCCAATATCATGAACACCTGGATAATATATAGTAATGCAATAAAATACAAATAGCTTTCAATAAAACAACTTTGCACAGCTTATAACCTTTTTTTCATGCAATGTACATTTTTGTCGAGACCATCAGAGAAAGGTTTAAATCTGATTCAAATTACATTATGGAATAGCATTTATTGCTGGACTAACGACTCAGAGTGATTTAGACTGTCCAGGTGTTCATGATATTTTGTCCACCCTTGCTGCAACTGACACTGAGCAAGTTCTGTGCCTGTTCCTGTTATAGAAGCCAAGAGCATTACCGATTAAATGACGATCGATTAAAGGTTTCATTTACAAAAACATTTGTACACTGAATATTTAAATTCATGGTAAACTGTCTGAAGCCAACACGTTAATGTCTTTCACACTGGCAAATCTAAACTCTCAACAAAGCATGTAGTGCTATATTTACTTCTGAAATACTGTATAGCTTCACTGCAGTACCAGTACTTACTATTTACATGTAGTTCATTTTAATTTCTGATGATGTTCTCTTTTTAGCTCCACTAAAGTGAAGGAGGCACCCCGTAGTTACGAAAAGAAGAAACAAGTGCCCTGCATTTGGCTATCTGACTCCAGCAGTGAGAAGGTAGCTTACTATTCTTATCTGTATCTGCTCACCCATTATACCTTATCCTTAAACTTTAACTCCCAGGTGAGAAGAGAAGGCAGTAGGCACCTGTGTCTAATGGTCATGTTGCTTGCTGAATCTGTCTGTATTTGAGCAGAGCGATAAAGAGGATGCAGACGAGGAGATGAGTGCCAGTAAAGGCACCCCCAAAGGACGCAAAAAGATCCGCAAAATCATTGAAGATGTGAATCTCCGTGCTGAGACCCAGGAAGCCCTCAGGGAGGAGGAGGAGAGGTGCAAACGGTTGGCAGATAGGGAACAACAGATGGAGGACAGGAGAGAGGTAATGCATACACAGCAGGTAAAACTGCCCATTAAACTTCACTGTGTGGTTGATCAATGAATGTTTGCAGTAGCTCAATCCCTGTTGTTAAATGACCGCACAGAACACAATTAATCGAAATCTTACCAAAATCACAATGGCCCATTGGAATTTTTCAATCTGAGGAGGTGCATTATTTGTTAAAGGCAGAATGTCTGTTAAAATGTGTCATGGCTTACACGTCATATTATAGAGACTTAATAAAACACATTTGTATGGTACAGAACCCTCCAAAAATCACACTATAATCATTTAAATATGTTTTTCATTGAATACGAGAATAATGATCTTACCCTCCACTGTCGCAAATCATATAAAAAAATATCAGTCCAAATAATCGCCATTAGATATTTTGTTCAATATCGTTCAACTGTAGCGTGTAGCGTTTTGGGGTTTCCTAAGGGGATGAGCAAACAGACAAAATGCTGTCTGTGCGGCATTGTTTTCCAGATTATTGTGATACCGGATGAGCAGTCTCAAGTTCAGTGTCCAATCACCACCAAGCTGGTCCTGGATCAGGACGAGGAGACCAAGGAGCCTCTCGTTCAGGTGCACAGGAACCTGGTGACAAAGCTGAAGCCTCACCAGGTGGACGGTTAGTTTGTGCACTCTTTTCACTTACGCCGAGGAGGACATTGCTTTGCTAGTATGCACAATACAGGCATGTTGACACCAACAGCATTAGTTAATACAGTTCTTGGTTGCATGAGTAATACATTTGGAGTTTACAGCAAGTCTCAATACACAAATATCTCAGAGAGCAGTTGGAAATGATGACCCGTCGGTTACTGATCAATCCAAAAATTGAGAACCGGTTTGTGTTCACACAAAACCTACGTACTGTGTTCTCCAACAGGTGTTCAGTTTATCTGGGACAGTTGTTGTGAGTCTGTGAAAAAGGCCAACTCTTCTCCTGGATCAGGCTGTATACTGGCACACTGCATGGGCCTGGGAAAGACTCTGCAGGTGAAGACATACACATGTCCACCTCCAATATTTGTGTTTGCTTTGACTTTAATATTCATAGCTGTTTTATTTTATAGGTGGTAACTTTCCTCCACACGGTGCTGCTATCAGAGAACCTGAAATTCAGAACAGCCCTCGTCGTGTGTCCACTTAATACTATCCTCAACTGGGTCAACGAGTTCAAGAAATGGCAAGACAGCATGAGAAAAGATAAAGTTCAAGTATGCAAAGCAATTCTAATGTGTTAAATCACAAATGGGCAAAATACTGTGCTTCAGATGCTTTATGTTTCCCTCTTTGCTTAATGTATACAAACTTATGTAAATAAGTGGTTGTTGTTCAAACACACACACATATGTTACAGGTTACAGAACTGGCGACAATAAAGCAATCAGAACGATTCAGAGCTCTGCAGAGGTGGCAGAGAGATGGAGGTGTTATGATAATGGGGTATGAGATGTACCGCATCCTGTCGCTAGCCCGGAAAATCAGTGATGAGGAGCAGAAGAAAGAGCTGAAGAGCATTCTGGTGGATCCAGGTACAGGAACTTTGTAATGGCAAGATATAGTTAAAATGTTATGTGTCGTTGCTTTGCTCTTGGGAACTGTTTTGATCTGTTTTCTCTCCTGTTTGTCTTCTTTCAGGTCCAGACTTTGTGGTTTGTGACGAAGGGCACATCCTGCGCAATGACGCATCCAATATCTCCAAAGCTATGAATGCCATCAAGACCCGAAGAAGAGTGGTGCTAACTGGCACACCACTACAAAACAACCTGGAAGAGTGTAAGTTTGCGACACTACGTCCTATTAAATAGTGCCTTGAGGTCACACTTTGCTTGAAGTGACGTAGAATATTATCCAACCACGGAGTGATGAGAATTGAGATGCTTTTCTATTATGAATGAACGAATGACAACAAAGTGAATTGTTGAAGTCAACCCACTTTAAACAGGATGTGTGGTAATGTGCAGTGAGTCCGTCATCTTTCACAACACACTGAGCCCCATTATTAATGCACAATATGCGAAAAAACTGACAATATTTTTCTTTGCTGCGATATAAATTGTGATATGAAAAAATACAGGAATCTTCACCTTTGAAAAGGATTAAACATCCTCGAATTTTTGGGGTTATTTTGTAGGGTAAAAAATGCATAAAAACTAAACAAGCTGAAAAATTCCTTTTTAGCCTGAAGATATTTTTGAGTGCAAACTATCCTTTTTTGAGCATTAATGCAGTAAACACATTTTGAACAAAAATATAATGTAAAATCCTTTTGTATCGAGCAGCAGAAAAATGTAGGTGCTTGAGTTTAATTGACTTGTATGACAATTGCACATGCACACATTGCGATGACGATGCTGAAACAATATATTGTGCTGCCCTACTACCTTTCCTCATATATCCTTGGCTGTTTTACTGTAGTGTTGGTGCCTTTTAAAGGGGCTGTTGATGATTTTGTTTTCTAAAGTCATAACAATGTATAAAAAGCACAAAAATGGAACATTTAGGTTTTACCATTTTATCTTTTAGACACATTTTGGAAAACAGGCCGAGAGATGCTCAGATCAATTGTTTGTGTGCCGAAACATGGCAGCCTACACTATGGTAACCTGAGGCCAGAGTACATGCTTTTGGTGGATGAGTTTGACAGTGATTGGCTATGTTTCTTTAGGTTTCATTATGTGTGTATATGTGTGCGTATAGACATACAGTAAATAAAGTATTAACACGGCTCCTTGAAATATATCACTTTTTTTTTACTGACATCACTGATGACCCTAAACTGCAGTACTAAAACAAATTGGCCTTTTAGACCAAATTACTACATTAAGTGTAGGCAGATATGAAAGATATTTCATTTTAAGGGATCACATTGATACACCATAGTTTGTTCCCACAGATCACTGCATGGTCAATTTCATCAAGAAGAATCTTCTGGGCTCACTGGGCGAGTTTCGAAACCGTTTTATCAACCCGATACAGAACGGCCAGTGTGCTGACTCCACACCAAAAGACGTCCGGATAATGAAGAAGCGAGCGCATGTACTTTATGCAATGTTGGCTGGTTGTGTGCAGGTAAAAGAAAACACTATCAGTTGCAGGCTGTTTGTACATAATACAGTTTGGTCTTAGCTCTCACAACCCTGTTTTGTCGTTTTCTTAGAGGAGAGATTACTCAGAGCTGACTCAGTTTCTGCCTTCCAAACATGAGTATGTGCTGGCAGTGAGGATTTCCCCACTTCAGTATCAGCTGTACCGCTACTACCTTGACCATTTCACTGGTAAGAACCTGTCCTCACGTGTTTTCTATAAGAAAAAGAAAAGAAATGTAGTAATCATAGAAGAACATAGAAACAGATGCAAATAGATTTCACTGAATCCTGCGTTCTTAATGTTCATGTTTTTACTTTGCTTTATGACTTTAACTTGTAACACTTTGAGATTTTTTCAAATGATTTGTTTTAAATTGTCATTTATGATCTCAGATTTTCCCATTTTACAGTTTATTCATAGATAACGATAGTGGACTGTCAATAACTTAAGATGCGTGACATTTAGTCATAACGTAACTAATCCAACACACTAAATCATCAGAGGCTGAGATATGATCATCATCAGCCAATGTGAAAAGGAAGTAAAAATCAGTAATGGTGTTGTACCTTTACTTTTTTAGAAAGTCAGGGGGTTCACAGATGATCGATGATCTGAAGTTAATACGTTTGTTTCTCCAGGTGTTGGTTCCATGCCCAACAGAGCAAAGACGAGGACTGGAGCAAACCTGTTCAAGGACTTTCAGGTGCTCGGCCGAATTTGGACTCATCCCTGGTGCCTTCAGCTCAACTACATCAGCAAGGAGAACAAGGTACAAAAAAAGAAATCACCTTGACACCTAATTAGTCTGACATGACCTAAAGCATTTAATTTAACTTTAATTACAGGGACATTTTGAAAAGAAGAAACAAGTTAAAGCGGCAGCTCTGCTGAGAAATGAAGAAACCATTGTGGTTGAGAGGTAATACCTACTGCATTCATAATCACACTCAACCTTAGGTAGGTAGGTTTATTGTTACAATATAACAAGTTATAGAGTAAAATTGAGTGTGTAACTCCCTTCTGCCACATAGTAGACAATATACATTAATAAAGAATCAATTATGAAAAATGGTAAACAGAAATAAACATCAATGGAGCAGTGCTGAGTATGAATTAGAGTTTGAGTCTGATAGCTTGGAGAGAAAGCTGCTCTGCAGTCTGGTGGTGTGGCAGCAGAAACTTCTATATCTCTTCCCTGAAGGCAGCAGGGTGAACAGGCTGTGGCTGGGTGGATACTGTCCTTTAGTATCCTTTGGGCTCTGCACAGGCACCTCATCTCACTGTTATCACTGATGCTCGGGATATGGGTACCAATGATCTTCTGAGCTGTTTTAATCACCCGCAACAGAGCCCTCCGGTCCTAGCCGTGCCCATGCCATTTTGTGATGTTTCCAGTCAGTGCCTCTGTAAAAGCTGAAAAGAACTTGGCATGAGAATTTGGCCTTCTTAAACTTCCTCAAGAAATACAGTCATTTCTGAGCATTCTTCACCAGCGTGGAGAATTAAGAGTTTCCGTAAAAAAGGAGAATAAAAGCAAAAATATAGCATAAATTAAGGGAGCTACTGGTCGCTGCGTCTACACGCACTGCCGTTGCCATGGAAAATGCACCCTAACACATCAGTTTCACTTTATTTGTTTCTCGTTAAAGCTGCACATCTATTGGCTATCAGACTAGTTAGTCAGTTAGTAACAGGGAACAGGATGCATTGAAGCACCTACACCAATGTAAAGTCAGATATTCCTGTAATTCTAGAGTGATAAATGTGCAAAACGTTCCAAAAATAAGATATTGTGTGGATTAGTGGCAGACAAAGCAATGCCTTTAAAACAAGTAACTGTCGCAGAAATTATATTCCTGGTGAGGGGTTGAGCAAAGAACTGAGTTACAACCAACCGTCGTCTTTAAAGAATTTATTTAACAAAAGAGAATAACAGAGAAGTACAGAGACCTGCTGCCTAGGGCGGCATCGGGCGTCTGGCCCCGAGCAAATGGATGCATCATCATTTACACAATCTAGGTTTCTATGTTTTGGGGAACAGAGATCCTCTCCCGGCCTTGAATGAACATTCCAGGAGAGGAGAGGAACAACAAGAGGGGGAAAACACCAAAACAGTCTCACAGCTCTGACCTAAACCCTAGTAAATGTGGACAGACTAACATAAGAAGTATAGGAGAGGAAAGGTTAAGGATAAAAACACTAAAAACACTATATATATGTATATGTGTGTGTGTGTGTGTGTGTGTGTGTGTGTATATGTATATATATATATATATATATATATATATATATATATATATATAATGTGTATATGTATACCTTTATACACTTTTTTGCCTGATGTAGTGGTCTGAGAGAGAACGAAGGGAATAACGATGACGGCAGGGCAGCGGGCATTGTTGATGTGTCCAACGGCGCTCCAGCAGTAGAAGGTATTTAAGCTTCATGTGTCACTGATACTCCAGCCCTGTAGCTTGAACACTAATATAGTTTGTGTTATATTTTGTGTAGGAGAGACGGCAACCATCAGCTCAAGGCCTCAGAGTCAAGATGAGGGCTGGTTCAGGAATCTGCTGTCAGAAAAAGACGCTAAAATCCTGGAGCACTCAGGGAAGATGGTGCTCTTATTTGAGATCCTCAGAATGGCTGAAGACCTGAACGAGAAAGTGTATGTGTATTTTCTGATAATTCTGAAAATTTTAAACACAGACACACAGAAGTGGTCCGTCAGCTAACCAAATCCATCCATTTGCTCTTTTAGGCTTGTGTTCAGTCAGTCCTTGATCACATTAGACCTCATTGAGGACTTCCTTGTGGCTTCTCACCAAGCCAGAGACCCATCATTATTCAAAGGTATTCTGTGTATGGCAAAGAACATATGATGTAAGGGAAACATCTTCCTTGATGCTAATTTACTTTTTTGTACTTTGTTGTTCTCACAGTGGGCAGCTGGATTAAAAACATTGATTACTATCGGCTTGATGGTTCCACCAGTGCTACGTTAAGGAAGAAATGGGCAGATCTGTTCAATAATACTGACAATTTTCGGTACAGATGATCAATCTTTCCATATTAATTACACTGGATTAATATAAGGCAGAATGTGTGACAGTGGCATGACATAGTTTCTGATTGTATTTTATTGATCTTTATTTTAGCGGCAGATTGTTTCTCATCTCAACGAGAGCAGGCTCACTTGGCATCAACCTCGTCGCTGCCAACAGGGTCATTATTTTTGACGCCTCATGGAATCCCTCATATGACGTACAGAGCATATACAGGGTGTACCGCTTTGGTCAGTTCAAACAAGTGTTCGTGTACCGCTTCTTGGCTCAGGTAAGTTCACTGGTCTTCATTTACAGTAACTCTTAAGTCTTTACATCGTTGATGCTTGGTGCACAAACGGTCAATTTGGATGACTTTGACTCTGTTTCCTAAATGACAGAGTTTTTATGCGAAGATGAAAAACATATTATCATCACTATCTTGGTGCTGCTGTTGACATTCTCGCAGACGCAAATTCAAAATAAAATGGGTGTATACGTGTATGTATGTGTATATAAATAACTGTATATATTGTTTTATGTATTTTATATTTTAACAGTCTAATATACATTTAATCATCTGGTCAGTTCTGTGTGTAGCATTAAGGGACTACAAACTTCAATTTTGTTGTACAACCTTGTGTTGTATAATCATAATCTACCTTGATAAATGTGGATGTTTTATAAATGTGAAGAGAAATATGTTCATTGTGATAATTAACTGATGTTACTATTTAACAATATCGGCCCAATATTCCGTGTAAAACGCATAAACTCGTGGCAACGCTCTCCAGTCTTAATCAATGTTTTATTAAAACAGTCACACAAGCTGATGTGCGTTGCAGTTTCAAGAGAGATAATCTGTCTATACAGTTTGTAATGCACTGGCTAAACAGTGCCTGAAATAGTTGCTCATTTATTTAAGTTTAAAGTTTTTAGTTTAGTTATATATAAATATATAAATTTTAATATTAATACTGCTGTTATGTATTTTTTGAAAGTAACAGATTAAAAGGACTTAACAGTAGCGTTGTGTGTTTTTTGGGACAAAATGTAAGTCTTCTTGAGCTGCACTACGTACCTTAAGTCAGTTAAATTTCGTTCGTAAGGTGATTTATTGATTAATGGAAAATGAGCAAAGATTTTCTTCAGCTACATACATTGATGTTGATTTTGTTCTGACTTTTCCCCAGAGTCTTTGCTTTTTTTTTTTTTCTTGAGAAACACTGGATATTTTTTTGTTGTCAGTAAAAATATCCTAATGATCTAGGGATGATCACTCTTTGCAGCTGCTCACAACTCATAGACACATGTAACCTGTGGTGAGAGGTCACATGGCTTCATTTTAAGGTGTCACAAGGCTAGAAAGCACTGCCATAAAGATGAAAAAGACTGAAGGTTTAAGAGTGATACATGACTTCTGAGAGGCTCTTTTTTAAATTAAATTCTGAATCAAATTTCAATTTATGATCACACATTTTTGCAATATATTTATATATAAATATAAACCTATACATAAACCTTTCTGTCCTGTTTATTATTGTGTACATCTTCATCTCCAGGGCACCATGGAGGAGAAGATCTATGATCGTCAGGTGACCAAGCAGTCTTTGTCCTATCGAGTGGTAGATCAGCAACAGATTGAGAGGCACTTCACCCTTTTTGAACTGACTGAACTTTACACATTTGAGCCAGACCTGCTGGACGACCCAAACTCTAAGAAAAGCAGAAGAACCACCTCGGTTTTGCCGAAGGTGACGTCACCATCTTTATTTTCACGTTTCTGCTTTGATGACACGAAAATATAAAACACAGCTGTGTGAAAACAATTGTGCAAATAATTTGCAATATCGAATGACTTTTTGTTTGTGGTTCCTAGGATACAGTCCTGGCACAGCTGTTACAAACATGTAAAGACCAGATAGTGTCTTTCCACGAGCATGAATCGCTGCTGGACCATAAACAAGAAGAGGAGCTCAGTGAGGCAGAACGCAAAGCTGCCTGGGCCGAGTACGAGGCCGAGGTAAGGAGCTGAACACTACAAAGCAAAGATTTAATGAGCACTGTCTCAACTGCATGTCCTAGTCTTCATGCACTGTGTTTTACATTATAATTCAATGTGCTTACTTATGTAAATGCCTTTGTATTTTGTCCTCAGTCAAACACGGCCAACCTACCAGTTAGCTCAACCCAGGACACCTTGGATATGAAGACCAATGAACAGCTACTGGTATGAATAAATATAATTTTCTGAAACTCTTTTCTTAGAACTGCTGCTGGTGATATTTGTGTTTTATAACGTATTACATAATGTCTTTGCAGGAATTGCTTAACAGGAGCAGAGGAAATGTGTCTGTGGCCTTCCTGTCGCTGCAGAGGATGAGGTCTCACACTAGCGAGGACTACTTGCTGCGAGTGGTGAGTGACCTGAATGTCTCATTAAGTATTTAAAATGTAAATTTTTTAAAGTAAAACAGTATGTTTTTTTTAAATATGCAGTATGTTCACAATCATGAATGGATGTTTCTTTTTAAAAACTATATTGCATCAAAGGGCCCTAGGCTTAGGCGGTAATTTCTAGCTATATGTAGGCTTTTATCCATTCACTGTTAAAATAATAATTTGGATAATCAATTAATTGTTGGAAAAATGTCAAATATTTCTCAGTTCCAGCTTTTCAGTTGTTAGGATTTGCTGCTTTTCTTTGTCTTATTTGTAAATATACGTATAATATAAGTGAGTGTTGGTTCGGCCGAACAAGCAATTTGATGACATCACCTTTATGAATTTGTAATATGCAATTTCCCCTGTTTTATAGACAAATCAACTAACAGAGAAATATTGACAGGTTAATCAATAATCAGAACAGATAATTACATTGCACATCTATATCGTGAGACGGGTACGTCAGAGGGGCACGAGTAGGTCAAAAGTTGCAAAGAAACTCCTGCACACTGTCTAACTTTTCCTGATGAAGGTCTAGTACTGAAACATTGCCAGTTTATACATTTATTTTTGCAAGCTAGACAGTGTGTGGGAGTTGCAGGTTCATCAGAAAAAGTGTAGAAAGTAATCTTTATAAGCGGCCCTAATACGCATGAAATCTTAGTCTTAGTATATGTGATTTCATATGGAAATATCAATTCCACAAAAAATTAACAGACAAATTAAGATACATTAATGCTAAATATTATGTGAAAATTAAATATTACCATAAAGCAATGCAGCGCACAATGGTCTAATATAATATTAAATCACAAAGTCTCCTACGGTACAATGGTACTCTACCAGCAGAGATGGAAACCTATAACTGACAAATTCAGTGAGGTCCAAGTAGAGAATTATGTGTAGAGGTTATGTGTAGCATCTCTGTAACATTTAAAGTCCTTTTTAGTTTGATTTTCCCGAATATAGATCAGCAACCAAACCTGTCTCACAAATTAGCTTGTCACACATCCAAATATTAGCACAAGACTCCATCAATCCCACATCAGTTATATTGTGTGTAGTTAATAAAATGCATTGCAGGAACCTTGTGTTGCAGTTGTTCAGAGTATTCATTTGTACCTGGTGTGTGTAAGCTTTAATTTATTTATGTTACAGCGGCAGCAGTATCCTCAGCTGCCTGAGGCTGAGGTTAAGATCAAAGCTGAGATTTGGAGACTGTGTGATGAGAGGGAGCAGGAACGTAGACGGGCCTTTTATCGAGACGTTCTTGCTCAGCAACAATCAGTAAGTCATTTTTACACATGTGAGTGTGTATGTTTGTACATATATGTGCAAATAGACATTTATCATGTTTTAATTTAAATCCCTCTACAGCTCACACTCAGCATCCAGGCCATACTGAACACTCGAAGAAATCAAGGGATGCAGATGACCGTGACGGCTGTGAACACGCCCGGACAAACTTGAACAACAAATTCACGTTTTAGTGAGAAAAGAAACAAATGCCTTTGTTCTTCATCACAGAGAAACCTTATTTTATATGCTCTACAAGTGAATTGAATGTATGTTTTACCAGTATGGAAATAGTGCACTGGGCTCCCATAGCATCAGAACCAGCCTTAGGATCCATTATAGCAATGATCAGATGCACTGCCAGTTTTGTTTTGTAACACTTTCGGCACTTTAAATAATAAAACAAACGCTTATAAAAAAAGTCCGTTAGGAATATGTTTTGTCTTGTGATGGAGTCCTGTAGGTATTATGCAGTGAAAGACAATGAATTTCTAATGTTTTGCAAAGGAAATTTATTTCTCGTCTTTTCAAGAATGTCACCCTCTGAAATTGTATGCACATTTTGTGAATATGTGCAGCTTGCTACAGTGTCAGTGAATGTGTGCTGCATCTTTCTTCATGACATAAACATAAGGTGTTCAACAGTGCAAGCTGTTCAGACGCAGAGTTGTTCCCCTGAGACGAAGGCTCCCTGCCCAGAAGTTTATTTGTTAATTAATGAAAGCAAGCCAGCTGCAGTGGTGGAAACCCTTCAGGCTCCACTTCAACTGACATTAGAGCATCGGAAAGTAGTGTGCACTAAACTGCACAGGCCCTCAAAGGATCGTTATGTTTGTGGGGAAAATAAGTCTTTACAAAGAGGATACATTTCTTATAAATTAAATTTTTTATAAAATACATTTGGGAAAAAAGAGTGACAGTCTTTGTACACATACAGTTCATACAAAATTTGGCAGTTTCACTATCAAACAAAAGGTGTCAAGTGTCTCTACACACAGTAATACAAATATCCATAGTCTGTCCAAAACTATTTCTATTTGATGAGTATTGTTCCCTTACACAAGTATCCACAATTAATATTCTTTATGCTGGAGTATGGGACATAACCTCAAAGTGAAATTAAGGTCCTCTTAGGTTCAAACAGTAGGAAATACCACATTTGAATGCATTTTGTGGATCGACTAGTTAAAAGGTCATATAATTATATCAACTATAATGCTTAAATGCACTGGGAACGTTTAGTTCAGTTCAAGCAGGAAAGAGAACACACAGTACTGACTGAAGATGCAGACTTTGGCTGGAATCACATGTATGCAGTCAGTCTTGCGTATTGCCTTTCAGGGTACAGGAGCTGGAATGTATCCCAGCATGCACTGGGCGGAAGAGACAATAGTCCATCACATGGTTAACATGTTCTACTATCACACAATTACTTTCACACCCATTGACTTAAATGTGTTTAGAAAGGTAGAGCAGATGCACACTCACAGCGAGAGAACTCAACAAAAGAACACATATGTTGCACTCTTAAGATTACAAACCACTTTACAATTCTCAATGATAAAATGTGTTTTACTAAAAAAAAAAAAGGGGGAAAGAGTTAAACAGTGAGTAAAGGATGAAAATAAGTTATTCACAGACTCATTCATGGAGCCATGTAAGTAGTTTAGTTGAGGTCTACAAAAAAGAAAGGATAACACTGCATTCAAGATACAGTCATCTTTTAAGTTATTATAAAAACTTAGTATATTAAAAAAGTAATTAATAAAAATAAAAAAAATGAATAAAAAACCTTCAGTCCACATAACGTAGTCGACGTTCACAGTGATGGCTGTAGTTTTCCTGAAGTCCTAGAGGTTTGACCCTTAAGGAGGAGTTTCAGTCTCTTACATGAACACATGGTAAACCCATCACTCATGTTTGGAGCTTAACATGTTCCTCTGTCTGTGCACAGTAAAAAAAATAAAAAGACTACACAAATCCTGATGGCCTGAGCTCCAAGCTGTGCAGCTGTCAAGTAACATATCCATGTGTGGTTTGAGCAGCGGGTTGTGCAGCGGATGTTAGTGTCCTGTATCCAGGTCCCTCATGTATTCCTGAAGTGCCTGCAGCCTGGCGTCAATCTCTGAGAGCTCTGCACCTGTATCTATGGAGCTCTCTGGGGTTGAAGATGTAAAATGATAAGTTGTGTGTGTGTGTGGTGGCTAGCACCCTCCCCATTAAAATTATTTTATTGCATGAAAAATGTAAAAACACTGATAAATCACCTTTGTCCTTCATTCTTTGTGTGGGAGTACTGCATAATGGCTTCCTCGTCAAAAGGCTTCCTCTAGACTACAAAACGATAAATTGCACATTAAAAGATAAGCCTGGCGATTTTTATATTTTCAACAAATCCCATGAAATGACCAAAACCAGCAGTGATCTGAATTGATCTTACTAACAAGTCCTGACTGTATAGCTGAAGCCTGGTGTATAGTAGTATTCTTCTTTGCCATACAGCTCCGCTGTTGTTAAATAAAAAATTAAAAAAACACATCAACGAGCCACACTGTATCAAACGTGTATTAATCCACAGCTGAAAATAGTCCCCCACAAAGGCAACATTTACTCCTTAATTTCATAACTTTTGCTGACCTGATTTTGGAAAATACTCAGGCTTTAAAAAAATAATATAAATATAAAAGTATTTTCAACCTGTTTTGTTCCTTAACCCCCTTTGTCCTTCAGAAGATGTAAATCTTCAGACAAAAGAGGTTAAAGCTGTGATCCACAGATAGAGTCGGGATGGTGGACAGTATTGAGAGCCAAACTAACATTGCTCGTTTTTGGTCTTTTCATTGGATATGTTGACAGTAAGAAAAACATAGAATAGCCCCAACCTTATCTTTTTAAATATATACAACAGAGCAGCAATAAACAGGGACCAGAGTTGCATTAATTACCATGTCACTCACCACACTGGGCCCATTGTAAGTCGGTTTTCTTCCCCTGTAAGCACAGAAAGAAAACAACATTTAAAGAACGAACTAAAACAATGGAGACTTCACAAAACCTATCCAGGGTAAGCCCATCACCTGAACAGAGCTTTGGTCATTTCCTCCATATCCACTAATGAGCTTTCAGACGAGTTCTTGCTCCCTTTCCGCTCCATAGATAAACTCCTGCCTCTGCTGCCGGACCGGGCCATCTGAGCATAGGCCTCTCTGGAACGTGAACGCCCTCTCTCAGGGACAACTGGTGATGTTAGCATGTCCCTCCGAACCTTCCTCTGTCTGGACACACACACACACAAAACAAAAAAAAACAGGGTGAAAACTATTGTTCTGCACAGCTAAAACACCAAATGCTGATGTACTGTTGAAGGAAAAATAATGGCACCAACTTTTTGAGATCTGCCTCTTTCTGCCTGCGCTGTCTGTCCTGGATGTAAGCTGTTGGGTCAAAGCGTGGCACCCGTGACCCTGTAAGATAGTTGGTGAGAACACATTATAGTTAGGAATTTGAATTAGTACGTAACACAAATTCACAAAAAGGGAAGCGGGAAAATTAGATTCAGCCTTGGATTAGAAATAACAGGCTGAACTAAAGCCACATCATGAGCAGAGACAGTACCAGTGGGAGAAGGTGACGGCCTGGGTATGCGAGCACGTGGTCCTGAGGAGTCCGCTCTTCTCCCTCTTTCCTCTGACCTTCGCCCTCTGTCCTCCATCCGTTCTCTGGACCCAGAGCGAGCCCTGACTGTCCTGTATGCCGACCTCCTCTCGCGGGACAGAGAGCGATAGATTTCCCCATCAACTCGAGAACTGATGTGACTGGACACGGGAGTCACTCTGCTGCAGACACACAAAGAGGGTATATGTGCGTCAAGTCAAGCTCGGAATTCAGATATTTACTCCATATTGTAAATTAATGAATGAAAGAGAGGGAGAGAAAGTAAAGATATAGTACACGCTTAGATTGTCTAACCCTCTCCGTAGTAACGCCAGTTCGTTGGTGAGACTCTTGACACGAACACGGAGAGCGCACTCTGACGCTCTCAGCTCCTCCAACTAACCAGGACAGGGGAAAATGTGTTAACACCAGATGGGCAACAAAGGAAACAACATAATCTTTTTGCAGAAGACGAAGGGCTCCACCTGCTCCAATAGGAGTCGCTGCTCCTGGCCTCTCTTGCTCGATGAGCGTTGACTTTTGGCCCTCTCCTTGACAAGCTGCTCCTCCAGCGTCCTCACCACATCTTGGCCCTTCCAGTCCTCTCGTCTGGACGTGGTCCCACTTCCGCTGATCTGGAGTCGCTCCAGAACCTTAGACATGGCCTCCTTCTCTTCTCTCACCAGAGCGAGCCTTGAAAACAGTAGGAGACGTCAAAAACAGTCCCACATCGCTTCATATTGGTCACGGTGATGGAGATGAAAAGCAACCTACTCTGCTCGTAGCCGCTGCATTTCTAGTTCGGCAGCCTTGTTAACTCCATGAGATGCAACGGCGCTGAGCTCAGCCCTCAGAGCTCTGACTTCCTTCTGCAGGGCAGCCGGGTCGGGCTTACCCACATAGGGCAAGGGTAAAGGGTAGTGTATCCTATAAATACAAAATAATTAAACAGTCATTAACACAGACATAACTACAATACTGAGAAGCAAAATCTGTGGCGTTTATAATGTGTGACCATGCAAACACAAACCTGTCAAACTCCACAGTGTATATGAGGATTAGATATCTTTTGGCAGTGAGAGCAGATGACTGCTGATGGCCGCGAGGACGACTAACCACTCCTGCTTTTCTGTTCCGCAGCAGCTCCAGGTCAGCATAGGTCAAGAGGTCAAGTGTAACAGAATCAGTCGTCTGCAGAAGGAGCTCAAGTTAACTATGAGCATCAGAAATAGAATAAACTTCATGGCTATCAACTTGAGAAAAAAAAACCTTATAAAATATTATAGGCCTAAATGCTTTTATGATGGTGGCCTCCTGCGTTGCTTTTTCAGCTGACCCTTAAATGTGCAGCAATAAAAATGTTTTTACCATTTCATTTGTATTTGTGGTTTAAATACACAGAAAATAATAACAATTATGTGTTTTTCTTTTCTGACAATCAAACTTTTTTTGCACACATCTGACTGTTTTTGTGGTCCGTGTATTGTGTTTTAGCCACAAGTTTGGTGAAACAGCACTTAGAATTGCGTGACCGGTTTCTAAATGTCCCCCGATAGTTTCTCATATTTTCCTCCAGGCCCTCCCCTTTTGGCCTCTGTTCCTGTGCATTAATGAAAAGGAGTGAAGGAATAAGACAGCTCGGGATAACTACATTTTTCGCTCAAGTGGAAACATTGAACTCGAATGAGTGAGTCTCGCTTAGCTCACACAGCCTCGAGTAAATCTCTGTCTGTTCACATCATTCTATTGACTTTGTATGCGTTTGGCCACCTCTACATTTTTTTCCCTTCTATCTGGGCGCACCTTCAAACATACCTTTCTAACAGCTGATTCCAACATGCTACAGAAAATGGGGAACTGCTTGAAGTTGCCAGTTTTCCGTGTGAGGTCCTCAATATCTAAAGAAAAATTAATAAGTAAATAAATAAATAAATAATGTGAGTGAGACTATTTGTGCCTGTGATGGCTTTAATCTATGGTAAATGTATGCTACTTACATGCTGGGTCAAAGTCCCCCCTCCACTGATCCGCTGTCACTGAGTCGGAGATTTCGACTATCAGTAAACCCTTATCCACCTCTATCTTCACAGAAAACTCCACTCCTCGAAATACAATATCCTCCATCACCTCAGAGCCCTCCTCCATCACTCTGGGTCTGCAGATGAGAAATATAATTATTATAAGGTTAACAAGGGAAATCTGAATCAAGACGACAACTGTAAAAAGCCATTCAGTAAATGATACGTGCCCCGGTTTTGAGAATTTCATATGTCCCAAAATACGACATAATATATGACAACCCAAAAGGTACAATATCAGTAAAGTAATAGTATCTCATGTGCATTTTTTCTACTTACAAGGTCGTTTTTGGAAAGTGTTTTATATGTGTGCAGATTTGCATTCACTTTAACATTAAAGATGAGATCCATACATAAAACAAGGGGGTACTGCCACTATAGAAAAAGAGAGATATCTGTTAGCTACTGTTTCTCAGAGGTGAGCTAGTTATTATTTTTAAATCATCCATGTTGTTACTCTGGCTCTCTCTCTTATTCCCTACCTTGCTTTCCCTCACAGAGTCGCACAGTCTGTCTCCATCAAAACACACCGCAAGGGGCAGTAGCAAGCCGGTAGAGTCCATTTCACTAGGTGTCATCATTTTTATTGGGAAAAAAGTTCTGGTTGGTGGCTCATATGATATGTCGGGGACTCAGCAAATGTCTACAGTCATGTTTTACGAGGTGAGTTATTAATAATGTCTCCTTTTTTTGCTGCGTTACAACGCGGTTAGATTTCACGCCCGACTTCACTTTCTCCCGTGCGTAGTGAAACATGAAATCTGTTATCCTCATCTCTCACTGTAACAGTGCACGTTACAGAAAACACGGCGGGGTCTGCCTCTTTAGCTAGTTCGCGTTAAGTTTAAAAGGGTCGGTACTATGAGAGTGTTAATTTCGGGATTGTGGAAGAAAATTGACGATATTTTCTACTTCTCTGTCAAGAGATCCGCTAGAGAGAGTTAACATCAACTGACCAACGTTAGCTAAGGGTAGCTAGCATGGACATCATCGTTAGTTTAACTTGAGTTGTGTTGGTAGTTTACTTGACTCGCAGCTTGCTAACAAAGCTATCTGTAAGTGAACATAACGTTATCCACCGTGCGAATAAACCCCCCCCCAAAAAAAACACATTGACGTTACCTTTGGTTGCAGTAATGATCTGTACTGAGGTAAGTTAAGGTGTCAACACATCGCGGTGCGTCAGCTAGGTGAAGTAACTGCTAGCCGCTTGATTGGTGGGACCATACAGTCCAAAACAATGTGTAAGCCACCGGCACCGTGGAGACTGGGGCGGTTCAACAACCGGGAACCGTTAAATTCTTCTTCTTCCCTTTGCTTTGACTGTGCTGCCTCTTCCTCTGCCCAAATTTGACGGAGGCTCGGCGCCTCTGAGGAGAATCGCCGCCCTCCACAGGCAGTGAGCGGACATTACATTCAACGAGGTCTAAGATGAGGTTGCTGAAAGGTGGTAGAAGTAGCCTATCTGATCCTTTACGTAGGTAAAAGTAGCAATATAACAATGTAAATGCTCCATTTTAATTAAACGTACTGCATTCAAAATTTGGCTCATATCAAAATACCATCTCTTATAATATTGCTGCAGAAAAATGCAAAATGTTCTGAACACCTCACAAGTACAAGTGCTGATTATTATAACATTTTCGAGTCACATGACAAATATTATGACTTTAGACCCCACCTAACAAAATCAAAAAAGACTTGCAACTCGACTTTGACTTTAACACCAATGACTCTTGACCTTTTGACTTGAGACCCTCCCCAAGCCCAAATATAAATTTTGTGTGCAGGGCATAAACACATCATTTAATTCTTGAAATTATATGACACTTGTGTGAAACTGCCCCTCTGCCATTTTTCTGTACAGGTAAATGCTTTATTCAATAAAGTATTTTATATGATTTGGAATTAAATTTTGGTATAGAGCACATTATGACTTGTTTAGGACTCGAAACTCAAAGTTTAGCACTTGACACTTGACTTAAGAGTTCTCGGTCTTGACTTGGAACCATACAGTGCTAAGACTTGAGACTTACTTGTAATACCATCCATCCATTGTCAACCGCTTATCCTGTGTACGCGGGGGGGCTGGAGCCAATCCCAGCTGACATTGGGCGCAAGGCGGGGTACACCCTGGACAGGTCGCCAGTCCATCGCAGGGCCACACAGACAAACAACCACTCACGCTCACACAATTAACCTAGCCTGCATGTCTTTGGATGGTGGGAGGAACCAATCCGGAGCACCCGGTGAGAACCCACGCAGACACGGGGAGAACATGCAAACTCCACAGCTGTGAGGCGCCAGTGCTAACCACCGCACCACCGTCCAAGTACAATGTTTCCTCAATCAATCAAATAAATCAATATTTATTATATTAGAGCACTTCACAAATCCAAAGTGGACACAAAGTGTTGTACAGTAAAACAATAAATGAAAACATAAAAGACACTAAATACAAAGCTCACATGACGCATAAAACAAAAACAATAACAACCATACAATAAAATCAATACAACCAAAACAAGAAATGTCAGTTTCACTTATCAAAGGCCAGGGAAAAGAGGTGGGTTTTAAGAAGAGACTTAAAAACAGACAGTGAAGATGCCTGTCTAATATGCAGAGGTAGATCATTCCACAGTTTAGGAGCTGCTACAGCAAAAGCACAGACCCCTTTTAGCTTGCGCTTTGTTTTGGGCACACTTAGGAGCAGTTGATCGGCTGACCTGAGAGAACGGGTGGGTCTATAGGGGTGTAGCAGTTCAGAGATGTAGGGTGGGGCAAGACCATTAAGACATTTAAAAGCAGAATGTAGTTGAGTACAAGTATAAAGTAGTATCTAAGTAAAGTAGAAATGCCTTTAAAATGATGCAGTAGTAACGCCTCACCACTGCAAATGAAAAGGCAAACGTACATCTCGCATGATTATGATCAACTTAAATATTTCTTCTTCCTGTGATCTGCAGCCAGTACAACGATACAAAAACTGTAGTTAATTTGAATCGGTACTGCTAGATTAGTATATCTAATTTATAATGATCTGATGAACAGACAGACAGAACAAGCCTCTCTTCAAGCTATCATTGAACTATTTTTAACTATATCAAAAGTTTAATGGTATTTCTTACATGTTACAGTATATGTATCATTTTCCCTCAATCAAACAATTAATTTAAATTACTGTGTCAGCACTACATTCTTTAACATAAGTTCAAAACTTTGAACCAACTTTCATGTTGACATTGTCCACGAATGTGTGTTCAACCTTCCAGTGTTACTGTGTGGCTAATGGCAGTTTTCAGTAGAAAACAAGTTCTTCCTGTAAATGTTTGATAAATCTGTTGCGTAAGATCAGAGCCGACCCTGTTGTCTGCTTGTCTTCACTCAGTCTTGGGAAGGGCTGTTTCCACGGAGACGTTGTTCACCCATTTGGCAAAAAGCCCAGTGACCGAGTCTGAAGTCTGAGGTCCTTGCTGCCGGGCCATAAAGACGTAAAACAACACAGAGGAGTGTGACGTGGAGTGTATGTGTGCTACACAATGACTGACTGACTGTTTGGTCTTCCGATGCAGAACTCTGCATGGAAGAAACACAAAAGTTGTGGGACTTCATCTCTCCTTGCTATGACGCCCAAGAAACCTCAGCAGTGGCTGCAAGTGGTCGGACACGCAGGTTTGTTTATCTGGTCTTGCTTGTCTTTCATTTTGCTCCTCAGCAGATCTAATTCTGGTAAAAAAAACCACCACAATGTACGTAATGGAATAAATCTGTTTAAATCTTGTCGGTCCTTTCCTCTGAGTCGTCTTTTCCTTGCTTGTCTTCACAGGGAGCTTTCGTGTTGGGGATTATGGTACGCTGCTGAAGAGGTTTTGTGAGGAGGAGCAGCAATGCTACCTTAGGCTGATGGAGGACGCTTTGAGGCCCTTTGTTCCAGCCTACCACGGTGTGGTGCAGCAGGACGAGCAGGATTACAACATGATGGATAACTTGCTGACCCATTTCAACACACCTGCCTGCATCATGGACTGCAAGATGGGCAGTCGGTAAGTTTTAACGGGACAATTTTTGCCACTGAGAGCAGTTCAGTGAGTTTTCTTTAAGGCAGATTTGAAGGAGGAGACATACAGTGGAGCACTAATTCTCAAAAAGGCCTTATAGTTTTTGATTTATCCTGAATATCAAAAACTACATCAATGAAACAATAATTTAGTAATAAAATCAGCAGTTGTTTTAAGTTGTTTAAATAACCCAGTTACTCATTCATAACTGTTTAGAGGCTGAAATACAACACATATAAAACAACTAACTAAACTAAACTACTAAGTTGAAGCTGTCAGACAGAAAACATTCTTTTCATGTAAAATACTTAACAAATGAGCATCTTTAACATTTAAATGATAATTTTTGATCTTATGTTAAAGTAATATGGTTTTCATTGAAGTGTTGTTTTTTTACAGTTATAATACACCTGTACTAGAATTAATATGCTCACAATAAAGACAGCCAGAACTGTCCTTCACAGCACATACCGTGAGGAGGAGCTGCTGTTGGCCCGAGAACGGCCCCAGCCTCGTAACGACATGTATGAGAAGATGGTGGCTGTGGACCCAGAGGCCCCAACAGTCCAGGAACAAGCCCAGCAGGCAGTGTTGAAAACCAGGTACATGCAGTGGAGAGAGTCGCTGAGCTCCACAACAACTCTGGGCTTCCGTATTGAAGGATTCAAGGTAAGCTCTACAGTTTGTTTTTGCAGCCATAAAGCTATTTTCTACAATGGCGTATTACGGGCATTGTAGGTAAAAAACTAAGAAAGATAAAGAAACAGAGCCGGGGGAATGGGGCCTAACTTCCAGAGAAAAAAACTTAAGATTATAGTATACATTTACTAGAAAAAAAACTTAACGTGCTTGTGTTATCGAAGCTTCATTCACCAACCAGTATTATCAGATACTTTCTTCTGTTCAGAAGCATAAAAACTGGCTAAGATGTGACACATGCTTTCAATTGGCCTGTTGCTTTCCCTCGTATCTGCCTAACTGTCTGAAACCTTCACCTCTTTTCTTATGTCTGCACTGACTCTTGTCTTGTATTAATAACGAGTAAAACAAAAGAAAACACTATTTAGTTAATGCTAAGTTACCCCCCACCCCCGCTCTGTAAAAAAACAAAAAAAAGAAAAATTACAGTGGACCTAACAAACTGTTGTAATTTTCATAGTCTAATGGCTGAAAATTTTTGCAATATAATGCTGTAATCTGTACGCTTCCCCTGTAGAAGGCAAACGAAGAATGTCACACAAACTTCAAAAGGACCAAAAGCAGAGAGCAGGTGATGGAAGCACTTAACAACTTTGTTGAGTCCAATACACACATTGCGGTGAGTGTGACCTTCGCTGACTTTCATTTACTTGTAGATTTATTTTTCTTTCCTGTAAACCTTTTGTCTTTCCCTTCAGTGCGGCTATCTGAGACGACTGAAACAATTGCGGCAGGTCTTGGAGGCGTCAGACTTCTTCAGGACACACGAGGTAGATGTTTTGAGCAGGATTTTGGAAATGTCAAGGAAAGAACGAAGAGAGCTGTATTAGAAATCTATTGTGCCCATTTTCTGTTGGCATTGTTTGTGTTAGCAGGCTTAGGCTGATGATGAACAACAATAGTATCATTTGACCAGTGGTGGAACTTTTTTATAACAACTGCATCCCTGCAGGTTGTGGGCAGTTCCTTACTGTTTGTACACGACTGGACAGGCAGAACAGGAGTCTGGATGATTGACTTTGGAAAGACAGTTGCCTTGCCGCCGCACCTCACCGTGGACCACCGTACTCCCTGGGTAGAGGGCAATCGAGAAGATGGCTACCTGTGGGGTCTGGACAACCTCATTGATATACTGGGCAACATGCTGCCACAGACTTGAATGCCACGCTATGCATATACTCTCAGTCCATCCTTCACCACTCATAAGTGGTGAATGACTGCAAAAGCACTGGCTTCTGAAATGGTTGTGTTGTCAAAATTGTGGGAATGAACTCTATTGGGGGGAAAAACTGTATGAGGCTGTAAAAAAAAAAATGGAAGATGCGATTGATTACAATAACAAAACGTTTTTGCAAAAGGGGTTATCAAGTAAATACGAACAGATTGTTCGTATTTATGAACAGATTGTACAAAAATACAATGTACAAAATATGAACAGATTGTTCGTATTTTGTAATAAGAACAGATCGTTGTCAATAAATTAGGACGACAACATTGGTCAAAAGGTCAACGGTGATTTATGGGGTGCAGAGCAACCCGAGCCTTGTGAATTTTGACTACTGAATAGACCTGTACCGCACTGACAGTAACACTAACCGACCCGACTGTCTTGAGATGAGCTGCTCATTATTTTCAGGAAACACACAGCAATTAAAAGCCAAAGATATGGCTGCCCCCTCTGGCTTGAGATTTTTGGTAGTTTAAACGTCACACTGCCATTAAAATGGTGCTAAGAGTATGATGCAAAAAATTGGACTTATTTTCTGAATTTGAATGCCTCACTATTATAATTTCAATTTACATTTAAATATTTTCCATGACTTGAGAAAATTAAATGTCTAACATTTTAAAATGTTCATTTATATGGTCATAGAACCATTTGAGTGTGTGAAAATTAAAATGCAAAGTTGTTGCAATTTCATTTAAATGTTTACGCCAACTATACATAATGTAGTGTAGTTGAGACCAGTATTAGATAGGGTGTTTGTTGTAGTCCATTGAGATTAGACCTTTGCGCATAGTGCTGTTGGTCACGGTGACCTCTTGAAAACCAGCTGTTAATATCCTTTTCTGAGGCACCAAGGTAGATGGCACTTGATGTTTCTGCTGTTCTGGATCAATGAAAACATCAGCATCAAGCAGAATTTCGCTTTTTTGCCTTCATATGTTACAACTGATCAGTCAAAATGAATCTATCAGCTTGACAAATAGCAGATTGACTTGAGATGAAAATTAGCAAATTGGCTTAATCGCACATTAACAGCGCTGCTTATTGACATGCACTGTCTCTAAATAAACCAATAAATCAATAAACATAATAAAGAATTAAGAAAATGTTTTAGTAAACTGCATATTACGGTTAGTTGGGAGTACTTGAAAGGTGAATGGTTTGTTAATTTTGTGCGAATGTCATATTTAAATCCTGGATCATATATATAGATTTGTTGTGTGCTACATTAAGCCTTTTAGAAAGTAATTTAAATTGTTAAATCTATTGCAAATCAATTCTGTTGAGAAAGTCATGCGTTGGATTCATGCAGATATCGGTACATACTCACATACATCAACAGTCATTAAACTATCAAGTAAAAGTGTTGGGTATGCAGTACTGTAAAACCTGAACAGATCAGAATATTAAACAGACTCTAAAGTTCAGCATCTGATACAGGGCTGACTGGTGAGATGAAGGCAGATGTGCACTCTGTCTTCCACACCTGTCCACTCCTGTCATTCAGCCATCAGACGGCAGGCAGAGGGAACCCCTGCCCTTACGTGCAGCACCAGACGAGATTAAAGGGATGAACAGACAGAGAAACTGAAAGTCATGCTCAACAAATCCTCCCACACAGTCTGCAGCAACAACAAAAAGCCCTCTGAGAGGGGTTGGAAGCTGCACAGCACAACCACAGTCTGATCTGATGGCTACTGAACAAACCTCACTGGAGCATTTTTGAGTTGAGTGCCTTGCTCAACGGTAAAGATATACAGCGGCAGGTTCTGCTCTTATATTTCACCCCACTTAAATTTGTCCTGTTAAAACTGGTGAGCTTCTGGTCACATTATGCTTCTCTAATAGTAATAATAAATCGGGCAACAGCTAAACATTAGCGTGGCAGAGGAGAATCAAGGTTTATGCTACACTTCAGTCAGGACTTGAAACACCTTGCTCCGGGCTTGGCAGATTGTAACCGATTAAAGGAGCAATTAATTCAAAGCAAACCTTTTGTCACTTGTAGTGCTTTAAGGCGAAGTTAAGTTGAGGTGCGATGAAGGCTTGGAAAATAGGACTAGAGCTTTTTAAAATGAAGAGATGGTTGCTCGAAGATGGAGGGGGTGGGCAGGGGATGATGATGTCAGTGTGTGACAGATGAAACATCAGACAGCCCTTCAGTTTACACAAAAAAACCTCAAGAGGCTTCCACTTGCTGATCAGTGTTCAACCGATCCATGGAACGAGCACAGCAGACCAGCAGCGCTCAGGGAACGGACACAGCTGTCGACGAGACCAGGTACTGTGTGGTTTCTTTTTACTATAAACTTTGACTATTTGATGTGTGTATGAATTACATATCAGAAAGTGGCACTGAATTTAGTGTTGTCTTATCATGAACATCTTTATGATATTTGGATATATGGGATTTAACCAAAGCATGTTTTCAGTCCGGTTTTTGTGGTTGAAATCACTTTGTGTTAAGCTGAAAATCACATTAATGCTAAATAAAATAATAAAAATATTTACATTGTAGTAAACATACTACTAATATATATCTTTTTGTTTTCCTACAGGCTAAATTTTCTTCAGATGCATAATTATTCTCCTAAATGATCAAAGCAGCCCATAGTTTCCTCCTTCAAGAGATGTTTTCCAAACCTGTACCATTTTAGAGATGCATGCTTTGCTGTGTATGTAAACCAAAAGTGCTTTATACAGTACCAATGCGTGTATGTTGCGTGGCAGGGAATGCATGCAACACATACTGTGAGTGTGTGACTGGCTGAGGCAGTGCATGTTGTTGCAGTGGCATATCTGTGCTGCTGCTGTGCTCATGGCTCAGAGGAGGGCTGCTGGTGGCTGCTGCTGCCCCAGGGCGCCCGTGAATGAAGACAATGCCCGTTTCTGCCTGCTGGCTGGCCTCATCCTGCTCTACCTACTGTGCGGGGCGGCCATCTTCTCAGCCCTGGAGCACCCCTTTGAGCTGCACGCCCGCCACCTCTGGAAACAACAGCTGGATAACTTCACCCGGCGATATAGAGTAAACCTGGGTGCCCTGCACACTCTGCTGCGGCAGTACGAGGAAGCAAACGGAGCTGGGATCAGAGTGGACACGTTGAGGCCCCGCTGGGACTTTTCTGGAGCTTTCTACTTTGTTGGCACAGTGGTCTCAACTATTGGTGAGTTTTGAAGCTTTTTTTCGTTTTTCAGAGATGCTAATTTAAAAGTTCTTAGATGGTCCTAATGAGATACCAACTCCCAAATGTCACTGTTGATCAACTATGACCTTTAAAGCTTTGATTTTTTGTTTCCACTCTCCAGGCTTTGGCATGACCACACCAGCGACCATAGCTGGAAAAATCTTCTTAATCTTCTATGGTCTCATTGGCTGTGCTGCCACCATCCTCTTCTTTAACCTCTTCCTGGAGAGGATCATCACAATGTTAGCTTATATCATGCGCTGGTGTCATGAGCGTCGGCTGAGGTGTGCTGGAGTCGGGGTGGTGTCGAGCAGGGAGGAGTCATCCGGCGAGGAGGACAGCCTGGAGGGTTGGAAACCGTCAGTCTATTACGTGATGCTAATATTGGGTGTGGCATCGGTTGTGATTGCGTGTAGTGCTTCCACTCTGTACAGCTCCATGGAGAACTGGAGCTACGTGGACTCCCTCTACTTCTGTTTTGTGGCCTTCAGCACCATCGGATTTGGGGACCTGGTGAGCAGTCAGAAGCAGCAGTATGAGTCTCAGGAGGCCTACCGGCTCGGGAACTGCCTTATCATCTTAATGGGGGTGTGTTGTATCTACTCCCTTTTCAATGTCATATCTATTGTCATCAAGCAAACTCTCACCTGGATCGTGGGTAAGCTGGTTTGCTCAGGGCGGCATCATTCCTGTTCCTGCTCTACACCTGGCTGCCAGTGGCTCTGCTGCCCTTGCCTCCAGAACAAAAATCATAACCAGAGGCGCCTGCCCGCACACCTCAGGCAAAAACGCTTGAAACGCAACACCGTGCAGCCCATCTCCTCCCACTGCCCTGCAGGAAGACACCGCTACACGGAGGGCTCGGTGGAGACAGTGTGTGACAGCGAGACAGATGCAGGCGCAGTGGCTGACAGCGTGTATGTGGGCCGTCGTCTGTCAGGAGAGATGATCTCTGTCAATGAGTTCATGGTGTCCAATAAGGTGTCTCTGGCACTGCTGCAGAAGCAGCTGAGCGAAACAGCTCATCAGGGCCCACGACAGAGCTACTGCCATCAAAATGGATTCTCTGGTGGTGTGGGGGCCTTAGCCATTATGAATAATCGCCTACAGGAAACCAGTGTGGATAGGTAACACCATTAAGATGTTATTCTTGCGTCCATTGCTTTAGGTTCTTTATACTGCAGCCTTAATCCAACCTATTTCCTTATTGAGTGTTTTCAAGAAAGTAAATAACTTGTCCTCTCAGTATGTTAAAACCAAATTGTAAGAATAGAATAAATTTTTCTTCCAATTAGCACCTGTTCAGCACCTCTCTGAGCAATTTCAGTAGAAGTCTATGCAGATAGTAGCAGACCTCCAGCATGGATTCTGGACATCAAATAACTGAAAACATTTTGTTCTGTGTAGAGAAAGAGAGCAAAAATACAATTTAAAGAATTCAACTGTGAAGAGGGGTATGATGTCCTGAAGTGATTGGCTCATACAAAAGCAATCAGATGAAAGAAGCAGTGAAGGAGCACTCACAGGGGACTGTTGATTTAAGAGTGCCGCACATGTCCCCTGAGCTCCTCAATAAATATGGTTGTATGTGAGGTGGTAGTGAGTATTAGTGACATAAACACAATGTCTACAGTCAGCTCTTGTAGACAGTCAACTAGCTGCATCTATAAAATATTTGAACTGTGATTTAAACAGAGCTTCTTAAGCCTACTACAGATATATTTTAATTAGTTGATTGCTCACAATTGCCCAACTTGTTTCAGCAACGCATATCATTTAAATTCATAGTAATCACGAAAGAGCGCGGCGATACAGTTTTTTCAATAGAGCACTTTTAATCAAACGTGGCCTGTAGAGGACGTCCTTATGTCAGTAAGTGCTGTACAGATAGTCGCAGGATCACATAAACAGAGCGGTGAGTAGGATTCAGGCTCTCCTTGTCTAGCTTGAGGAGATCCTTTACTATGCAAGAAAACCCATTTTAATTAATTATGTGCCATTCTGTATCATCTATGCGTCAGGTTTTCATCAGTGCTTTAGATGATGTGAAAAGCTTCCTCCATACCTTAGAGATCTGACCAGAAAAAAAAAATCATTCATTTTCTTGTAGGGGTCACGCTCGACTGTTTTCAAAACGCTGTGAAAAATAGTTCTTCAGTGAATTATTGTGGATAAAAATACGACAAGTTGTGTCAGTCAAATATTCTTTATTTAGGTTTAAAACAATCCTGACATGTAACGTCTATACACAGAAAATATCTCACCAAAATAATATAACAATGCGGTATGATGCAGATAAAATGACCCATCCTGAAAATTACCCGTTCTGATGCTGTTTATTTTATCAACTCTATAAAAAAGATGGATAAGGCAGCACAGTACATATCAACCAACTTACGGGGGAAAAAAACACATTTCACATACATTGTATCAAAGAATGTGTTTCGAAACATGGTTAATATATAGATTATGCTTACTAGATGAAAAATGCGCACATGTAGAACTTATATAACATATATATTTATTGGTCAGAAAATATAGATTTTAGGGTATTTGGCAAAATTCTTTGATACTTTTAATTTGAGATTTTGGTTACAATCAAATTGCAACATGCTGGATAGCTCTTTTGATAATAATATATCAAATTATTTTAACAAATTACACATTTTCCAAACATTACTTCTATGTAGATCTTAGTCTGCAAGTTTAAAATAAACAAAAACGGCTATTCAAGAAGAGTTTAGATTATGTGTGATTTTTTTTCTTGACTAAATGTGTGTATGTGTTGAGATTAAATTAGTAGATGAAATATTTGATCAGTGTTTATTTGCCTGCCACTTTCGACCATGAGGGGAAAAGATGTTGAAACAAATGGATATATGTTAGCTGCACTCTAGCTTTTGGCCAGCACTGACAATGTTTCAGTCAACACATTTTCCTTAAAATTATTCTTTTATTATATCACTTCTTAAAATATCATCTTTAAAATAAAACCCTACATATACTCACATTCCTTATTTGATCCAATGTACAATTTCACAGTTGGCTGCTATTCACTGTCATTTGAAATAAACATATGTATCTTCTGTTCACTGAATATGAGGCAGAGGTTTGTTGCTGGATTGGTTTCTCTGAGTAAGTTTTACAAAACGAACTTCTTGTATAAATATAAACCATATCAGGCATTATTAGATCTATTTTTGCATTGTATTTGTTATTCTGCTTGCTGGCATGATGTAAACAAACGTCCTTGTCTGTTCATCAGCTGCCTTTTTGTCAAACTGCACACTTGGATCCATGGATCCTTTGAGATAAAAATCCAAACAGGCTTCTCAGGAGCCCCCCAGGCCCTGTACAGACAGGCAATTGAGAAAATAATGGTGAAAATACAGTGCATATTGAAGAAAATAACATGTCTTCTAATCGTTAAAATGGGGCAGATATGTCGTTTGTACTCACATTTGGCAGTGTGGGCTTGTGTGTCTCTCTTTGTTGATAGTAAGCAGAAATAATGCAGTTCCTTCTGTAACACAGAAGTAACAAGGTGTAATTTCCCAATACAGGGTATAGATGCGCGCGCACACACACACACACACACACACGCACACACACACACACGCACACACACACACACACACACACACACGCACGCACACACACACGCACACACACACACACACACACACATTTTGTGTCTCTTACTTGCTCTGTATGCCTCCACCTGGTGGTAATCCAGGGATGACAGTGGATGCGAGGACTGTGAGGACAGACAGCAGATCAGGTTCCTCCCCTCTGGCACACAGCTCCGCATAAATCTCTGTCAGATATTAAAGGAAAAACAAATAAGCACATTTGGAAAGTTTCTGGCTTACACGCAGCTTAAAGAATAAGCCTCCGGTTGTTCTCTAATTTTGTGACTATATTGTAAACAAACTGTCAACCATGAAAAGACCAAAACCAACAGTGTGTTAGTCCATTTCTCAGTAATTACAGCCCCAAGCCCATCGGTTCTTCGAGAAGATGTACATCTTTAAAAATGTGATACACATAAATATAGTTTCATTTTAAAAAATAGGTTAAATACTGCATTTGTTGGGGACTAGTTTTAGCTGTGGATTAATACACATTTGGAGCAGTGGTGAATGTTTACTGACAATACACTGTGTGTGGGATTGACTCAAAATAAATTACACTGCTTTACTGTGTTTTAATAGTTTCGGACAGTAATGGAGCACTTTGGCATGGAGGAATAAGATTTTTTCAGACTTTGGCTACTTGTTATTGCCAGTAGGATCAATTCATTGTTTTTTTTGGTCTTTTCATGGGATTTGTTTACAGCATGAAAATATAGCACATCATAGCCTTTAAAAGAATACAATGGAGAACTGTTAAAAGGAAGGTAATGATTGTTTTTGTATTAGACTAAACTGTTGCCCTCATGAACCAGGGCAAGTACAGAAGAGATTCATCTCAGTGCAATTCAACTGCAAACCATACACCTCAAGGAAACAGAAAAGTGTCAGGACATTAAACATTAAATCATGATGAATAAAGTCTCCAAATCCCTAATATGACACTACATTGCCTATAGCGTCCCTTGTGTATTATCTGTACACACACACACACCTGCTACTTTGGATTCCAGCAGGTCCTCCAACTCGGCCTCTTGATGTAATGCCTCTGCTGACAGCTGGGGGGCTCCAGGGAAGCACAACAGGATGATGCTGATGTTGTCCAAGCTGCCCTGTGGAGCGAAGTGGCGTAAGCAGAGGTGAATAATGATGGCTGACCTCACAAATGTCAACATAACAAACGGGAAATACTGGGTGAACAGTTTTATAAATAGACCATTTTCACCTCAATGTTTGGGCACCGGTGTCACACAGACGCAGTGGAGCAGGAAAATGTTAATGAACTGTGGAAGAAGCTGTGACATTTTGAGGTCACTGTGCAGATTCGAGCTGAAGCTCTGTTACATAACAGAGTGAAACTGATAGACATAATGGCCAAACATGTGTTTCTTTGACTCTAAAGAAAAGACAAGTTAGACAATAATCCTAATGTGTTTTATTAATTGCCTTGAGGTTCTGTGAACCCTGGTTTTAAATAGGGGATGGGTGTGATGAGGGGATGTGTTTCGCTTGTTAATGAAGAAATTAAATTATGTGTACATCACACAATGAATTGTTCTTGACAAGCTAATTCCCTCATTCTAATATCCTTCACTAAACACCCTTAAATGTAGCAGCTATCTATGAGTGGAGCTGGATGTGTAGTGGAATAATTATTTTACCCTCTTTGGTCTGAAAAAACATTTTACATATAAGGACGGTATGATGAGCAATTCTGTGTTCTTGAACATTGACCTTCAACCGTCTGACACTCAGAGTGAGAGTGGCTGAAATGAGTCCTCGTAGAAACCCAGAAAAATCCCATCTAACCTGTTCTGACACCTCTTCAGTCTATTTTTAAGGCTGTCTGTCATACTATTATAAAATGCAGCCACAGTCTAAATGAGACTGAACCAAACTTCAGCAGAGGTCACAGCTGCTTTGTCAGTCTCTAAATGTGTGCTATTACAGCAAATTTCTATATTTTTATTTTATATTATTTTATTTAATATTTTTATATTAACAATGGATCGCATGAGAGCTATGTGAAAGATAGTGATAGTGATAAACCCACAGAGAATTATCACCTGACTAACCTCACCTACACTGAGCATTGTAGCCTCTTCCGGCTCACTGTTTTGTTTTACTGCTGTCCAGCACCAAATGGCTGACAGACAGTCAGCACCAAGCTAGTGAAGAAAGTGGAACATCTAGCTACACAGCCAGACATTTTTCTCAGGAGTTGTAGGAGAGCTCCTTATCTGTTGGATGAGTAAATAAGCAACTGCTAACACGTTTGCCATATCACCTTAAAAGTTGAAAATATTTCAGTGTTGCTTTGCACAGATTACACCAACTTTAAACTTTCATGGCAGTGCCTGCAACCATGTGCATATAGAAACCAAATGGCAACGTGAAACCACAATGTTACATAAATCTTCACCAAACAAACTCATATTTACAAATACATATATTTGCATACAGTATGTAGAAAGAAATAAAAAGACCAAGAAGTTATTTTCATACACAAGAAAAATGAGAGGATCCAGCACATTTCCCAGTGGAACTCCACACTATTTAAACAGCAAGATACTTTAATTGATGTATCAAACACAAGATGTTCCTCTCTAATCCATCTATCTAATCAAAGTTGTTGGATAAAAAAGTTTGATATAAGAAAATCAACAAAAAAGAATTAGTTGAGTGAAAGTAACAATAAATAGAATAGTAACCTTCATAAAGTTGAGCTCTTTAAAAAGTGGAATGACACCAGCAGCCTTCAGATTAAGCCAAATCAACTCAACACAGCCACAGTGTAAGGGATTATGTTATTACATAAAATCCACAACCCATTCAAAATTATGTAACACTGTTACACTGAAATTGTGTTGTGTGTTTATAATCCGTTAAAATGTTTTGCAATTCAAACTGCTGAACATGCAGAAATGCATAAGGTGCTGGATCACTTTGTAGTTAAGAGGGATTAAAACAACATGCACACTGGTTTTAAGCAGCAGGTTCTGACCTTATAGAGACAGAGGTCAATGACTTGAGTGCAGACATCCCTCAGGTCAGTGCAAACACGCAGCCGGTTGTGGATGAAGGCGCACAGCTCCTCATTGCTGATGGTGTCCCACACCCCGTCGCAGGCGAGCACCAGGAACTCATCTGCCGGTGAGCGCTCCACAACACACACCTCTGGCTCTGGTGACACCATCTGCTGGGTGGGCGTCCGGTTCTCTGCCCCCTTGTAGCTGAAGTCCCCCAGAGCACGGGACACTGCCAGGGAACCGTTGATTCGTTGGATGGTCACAGAGCCGCCTGCACTCTCAATACGCTCTTTCTCCAGAGGGCTGTAAGGTTTGTGGTCCTCGGTGGAGAAGCAAACCTGGCCAGACCGGCACAGCATGGCCCTGGAGTCACCACAGTTGGCAAAGTAGATGTAATATGGTGAGATAAGAGTGGCCACCACAGTGGTACCACCCCTCTCCCAGCCTTCTCGGCGTGCCACAGAGAGCAGGTGCTTGTCTGTTTGCAGGAAGCCCTCGATGATGGCTCCTCTCACCTTTTCAGGGTCGTCCTCTGGTCCCATTCCACCTGTATGCATAATCAGATACAATGTGAATACAGTGCTGAATCCAGCATCCTATAAAAAAATACATCATTACATGAACAGGACAGATATTTGCACAATACAATGAAAAATGATCCGCCATGATGTATGTTTAATAACAGGGGAAAGCATCTCTCTCTCTCTGTAAGAAGAGCCTTTTCTCCTGTTAAAAACTATTTCAAGATCAGAATATCACATATAAACACCACGAGCATCACTACAATAAATCACTAAAGTCTATTCCCTGAAAAAGATAACACAGGTTTTCAACAGGTTTGATTAAATATTGTATCATCATTTCGTTGCATTTTCAGTTACATATTGTCACCTGTGGCCAGGATGTGACCCAGAAGGTGCTGGGAGCAGTACTGTGCCACCGTGCTGCCTGCATGACCATCGAACACAGCAAAGAAGCTCCAGTCGGCCAGGTCTCCACCCAGCTGTGGTACACAGTTGTGGAAATCCTCCATGTTGGCCCTCCAGCCCTGCATACTTCCCAGGGCATAGGTGAGGCCCCAGCGGGCGCAGCCCTCCTCTGCTAACTTGTCCAGGACTGGCCTGTCCAGGTAGGGGCTGGGGATGGCCTCCTCCTTCTCCCCAACCCCTGGCGGCTCTCCCACTGCTGCTCCTCCACGGCCCGCCTTGAAGAAAGAGCTGACCCGCTTCTCTGTCTCTTTCACCAGCTGCCGCATAAATGCAGGCATCTCCACGCTGCCTTTCCTGGCTGTCCTCATGGCTCTTGTGCACAGCTGATGTGAGGAGAATCTGCTTTTATCCCTGCCCTGTTGTTTGTGGCTGGGACGCAGGGCTGAGCTGGGCCTGATGCTCTGAAGCTCAGAGCATGGCTGCCTGAGCTGATGGATGTTCTCAGTGCTAGCTGCTCACCCCCCTCTCCCTGCTCATCTCCTTCCTCTCCTCTCTCCTCCCCGGAGACCTCAGTGATCAGCGCTTTCTCCTCCACTCATCCTTCCTCTCCTCCTTGTTTAGTCTCTCCTCTGTGCGGCTGTGATTTCACCTTCTCCCTCGCTTTACAGTGCTCTTCCCTCCTTCACCAGCTCTCCCCTTGTCTTGTTATTTTCCCCTGCCTCCACCGTGATTGGCTGGCTATTTGTGTGCACCAATCCCTGCCCAGCTTGCATCGCCACTGTCATGTCTGAGCTCACCCTACCTCACTGTCCTCCTATCTGCAGCTCTGCCCCTCCCACATCTGTGGTAATCTCAACCTTTGATCAGTTGGGATTATAGGCTGTGGATTACAGTACTGTCGGCCATTTAGCACACAGCGTGTGTCTGATGAAGAAGAGACACGGGAAATAAGTCTTATTTTCATCATGCACAGATATGATCCCTTTAAACTGATATTTCACTCTTATTCATTACACATGGTGAGAGCGCATGTACTGTACCTCTGCAGGGATTCATGACTGATGACACACCAATTAAAACTGAAACTGAAATCAGAGCTGCATTCATTCTTTAGTTATAAGTTAGATTGGACTCAGGGTTGAACTGTTTTTGCATCTATTTGACATCCTGTGTGCTTAACTTGGATTTGAATGTTATTATCATGTTTGTATTATTTTATCATTTATGTTTTGTGACTGATATTATTTAGGAAAACATGAAAACTTCGGATTAAACAGTTTTTAAATCTTCGCACTTGAATTTGTTTTTTTCCTTGTATTTAATGTGGCAATAAAAGCAAAATAAGTTAAAGGCCAGATTTGGTTTTTGATCCCAGGTGTTAAATGACCCGTACTTTTGTTTAAACTCCTAAACTCCAAAGAAAAAACTTTTATTATTCATATGTTTGTATGTTTTTTTGTATGTTTTCAATCCTTATACAGACAAGAAAATTGGACAATTCATTAAAGATGAAGGGGCAAAGATTGCTGCATTAGCTGTTAATATAATTTTGGTTTTATTTTTAACAAGCAGAAATGCAATTTCGGTTTTGCATGATTACGCGTGTCACCGCAACATGACTTACAGCTGTTTCATTTGGCACTATTCCCCTAATAACTGATTAAAGCTGTGTAGTCAGGCAGGCTCACATGGCTCCTCTCTGTAATTCTCCACGTACTTTGATTCAAGGGGTGGACACTCTGCCAGTCCTGCCACTTTAAACTGGTAGCAATGGATGGAGAAATTTAAATGTTTTAAATGTTAAATCAAACTCACTCATCAATATGGTCTTAAAGCAGCTTGGCACAGAGGTACACACAATGGAAACAAACCCCTGGGTTTGTGTGATATTTGGACATGGTGCATTCCTATACCTGCAAGAAGTGTTATGTCAAAATAAGCTAAAGATAACATCTTTATTCACAGCTTAAAATGTGCAGTTGGACAGATGAGTTTGAGGTCTTTCTGGTATGCATTTAAAATGTTATGAGTGAAGCACCTCAATCATTTTTCTATTAGGGTATGTTTCTGCTTATGATTCAGGCTCCATTATAATTTCATTAGTTTGTCATGAATGCTGCAGTATACAGCTGGAGGAGACTTACTAGCGGTGGCTCTGTTCCTGATTGGTGATGAATTTTACATTAGAAGCTGTTTCTCACTGACGTGGCTACATGTGAAGGCCTCTGCATCTGCAGGTCAGCCACCAACTGGCTGAGGTACCATGGGAGTCTCTGAGGGACAAGTACATGCAGATGTCTCAGGTTTCCAATTTGAGTGTGTGTATGTGTGTGTGTGAGTGTGTGTGAATCCAAACAGGGGGTATCCAATACAGGATAAAATTAGGCCAGCCAGGCCTTATATTGCTGACAGAGCTGGGGAGGCCAAAAAAAGCCTGGGGTGCAAGCCAACAGTGGAAGCGCAGGGAAGAGAGGAGAGCAAGCAGGATCAGCGCTGAAATGGCCACCAAACGTAAGGAATTAAATGGTGACAGCTTTCAGTAAAGTGAATCAGAGCAGACAGAGCGTCCAGCTGTCAGGTGGAGGAGGAAGAGAAAATTAAGTTTTCCCCCTCTGCTGGGCAGGTGTGACTACAGACAGGATGACCAGTCAAATACTGAGAGCAGCATGTCTTTCATTTGGTGGACAGGTGGACAGAATGGGACTCAATGGGACTAAATGAGACCCTCTTGCTGATTGAATGTTGTTGTTTGTTTTATTCTTAAAGGTCCAGCTTGTCCCATAAAAAAAGATGATTGATACGTGTTTTAGAGTTAGGTTATTATTATATTATACTTTTGCTATTAGGTTAAGAATTAGAGTTAGGTTATGCCACTCTTGGGAAATGACTTCATAGGTATAACAGCATAAGTATGAGTGTCACCAGCATCATGTCCAAATTTGCTATTGAATAAGAAAATCTGAAATATGTTCTCTTATATGTTTGCAGTTTTAGTCTATTGCATGTAGATTATCCTTTGAAATTAAAGTTGTGTCGTGTGTGTGTGTGTGTCTGTGTCTGTGTCTGTGTATGTTTAGGTGTAAGATTCCAGAGTGTTTGTTTTAATCAGATAATTACCTTGAGATTAACACTGGAGTTGGGAGACTCATTTAAAGTTTTGAGGGTTGAATACCTAATATCATACCGTGACTCATAGCACAGTTATTCCTTTATTTATTATTCATCTGGAAATTTACCTTATTAAAATGTTGTTGCATGTTTTAATTTAAATTCCTCTCCATAATGTACAGTGAGCTTTGTTCCTATCATTTTTCTTTGCAATCCTATGTCAAACTTTTCTCATTGCATATATTTTCAAATAGAAAAGGTTGTTTTTTATAGACAACATGTCATGTAGGTAGCTTTTTACTTGCTCATACTTACTTACTCATATATATATGACCATTCCAAACTCAAATCTCAAAATATATGTTTTTAAATAACTTACAGTCCATTTGCCTCTCATATTGCTAAAACTGCTCTGTTACAGAGGGAGTAATGTGTGTCATCACCAGCAGGTTTGTATCTAATAAAACAGAGGAAAACAGAAAATGATCTGAGTCATCTGAATGAATTCCTTATGTCTGTTTTCGTTGGTCTCAGGTGCTTTACAATCCAAAGTGCGTCAGATGACGGTGCTTTTGTTATAATTAGGCATCTCCACCGCAATTTAGTTAACCTCTCTTCACCCTTCTATCATCTATTTAAGTGCTCATTTTCTGTTGCTAACTTGCAACTTCTTGTGCAGTTGTGGACCTGGTGTATTGGCGGAACATTAGGAAGACCGGTGTGCTTTTCACAGGGCTGGTGATCAGTCTGGCCAGTCTGTTCCAGCTCAGTGTCATCACTGTGCTTGCCCACATCTGTCTGGGTGCAATGTGTGTCACCTTCTCCATCCGTCTCTACTATAAACTACTGGAGCTGCTGCGCTGGAACCCTGGGGTCCACCCATTCCAGTGAGTCCGTCAGCGTTGACTTACAGTAGACAGCGTTGGTCTGTTTTTACAACTTCAAGCCCACACTGAATGCTGCTGCAGTGCTCTGAATGGGTTGAAACTGTCAATCACTATGCACTTGTGGCTAAATGTACGGCTTTAGTTGTTTTGTATTACTTCAGCATTTAAATGTGGTAGATTGACACAGCTCTTTTGTGTCTCTGTTGCCAGGTCATATCTGGATTATGACAGTACTCTGACAGATAAGGAGACAGTGATGCTGGTAGAGGAGGTGGTGCTGCTGATTGCGTTTGCCGTCACAGAGATCAAACGCCTGCTTTTCATCGAAAGTGTGGTCGACTCCATTAAGGTCTGAGAGTGATGATAAAATAATGACAGATATAATACAGTAACAGCTCGAGTCACGAAACTCAAGTATTAAAAAACACAGTGTGCTGACAGCAATGCATAACACATCAACATCATTGGGCAGGTAGTGTATTGTAATCTTGTAAGGGCATGTAGCTATGAGCAGTTTCCCACTGTTTTAAATCAACTCAAATGTTTTGTTTGGTGTGGACAAACAAATCAAAGCAATGACCTGCTAAAAGCTGCATATTAGGGGTGTTGATTCTCAGTGAGATTGACAGTACAATCAACAGCTTCACATTACAGGGATGCATTTCTTAATTCATTTGTCAACTTAACAATTAATTTGCTGTGCTCTTTCTCTCAGTTTGTTGTGCTCCTGTATCTGCTGACCTACGTTGGTGTCCTAACCAACGGACTGACTCTGGTGATAACTGGTGAGTGCATGTTTACTCCTCACACTTACACAAGTTCCTAATAGATTTCCTCTGACTGTGTTTCCATAACAAAACAATAAAATAGGTTGTCACTGCCTTCCTCCAAAAATGACTGACGAGCGTTTTCTGATGTGCCACCTCTATGATTAAGGTCTTGTCATGTTTAGGTAAAAGTTCCCATTCAGACAGAGACATGTTGCTTTAAAGAAAGTGTTTTGATGAAATAGTTGTTTTATTAAAATAAACCTGTACAGTAGTCAGTAGTACTTCACTAATAGAAATCATTTCTTCTTTGTTTAACAGCTGTGATTGCTGTTTTCTCCATTCCTCTGTTGTACAAAAAGCAGCAGGTGAGAGTTTCACTTTTTTTCCACTGAACTTTTTGACAACATCATCAAACAGCAACACCCTCAACTCAAGCATTAGAAAAGATAAACTAGTAGATATAGATATAAACTAGTAATAATAAAACTTAACTATGAGTATGAAATTTGTTCATGAACTTCAGCATAGGAAATACAGAGTCTCTTTTGTTAGAAAAAACTAAATCATATTTAGTAAGTAAAACCATCTATGATGCCAGAAAAATAAAAGTTAAATGCAGAAATGCTTTGAGTGGACTGACATACCTGTCATTTTGGTGATAGGTGCGGACAAGGAGGATGGTTAGAGCTGTCAATGCTTTTGTAAAGAGAATCAAAAACCTGTAAGTAACCTGCTCCTTATAACATTTTCTTTTTATGTGCTCTTTTTGTTCTTTTTTTTCCTTTTACATTGTGTCTTGTTTTGTTGCAGGTGCCTCAGTCTGTATGATTCAGTGAGACCTTCTTCTGCCCCTGAAGCTGCCCCAAAACCTGCACCTGCAGCTGCCCCCAAACAGAAAGCCAAATCCAAGTAACTTGTTGGTCGC